CACCAATCATCATCACAAATAGCATCTTCTGTTAGATCTGAACAAATATCATTTAGTTGTTGATGTTTTGAATCATCCGTAAAGTTCAACACAAGCAAATCATCAAAACATTTTAAATCATCAGTGTTGACGTCACAATTTGAAACCGATGAAGACATTGGATGAGTCATAATATCATCAACTGAAACATTGTCGTATTTTTCATCAGGATTATGTTTTATTACAGCCAGAGATTCTTCTTGTAACTTTATTCTTTTACATGATGGACTTAAACTACTTTCTTCACTGCTGATTTAAACTACTTTCTTCACTGCTGATTCTCTTCTTTATAGCGCCATGTTGTCTACTGACGTCATTAAATTCTGGTTTTATTCTCCAATATCCACCTTTACCAGATTCATTGTTTCTCCGTGGAACTTTCTCAAAGTCTTTATTTAAAGATAAATTATGTCGGATTGAATTTTTCCAGTGAGTATCAGCCATTTTGTAATAAGGAAAGTTTACAGTGATCCACTTGTAAATTGATGAAATGTTCATCTGTTTCCTAGGTGTTTCGTTAATGGCCATAGAGATGAATATGGTGATTTCGTGGAACCATTGTTTTTTATAATCTGTACATTTTTTATAACTAGCTGACCTTAATACAGGCGGACGAATAACAATCTTGGATGATGTGGATGTAGTTGTGGTAAAGTCGTGTAACCAACTCAGTTCTTTCAGACTTTCATCAATATCACCACTGGCTGTTTTGTACGAGACTAGTGGATTCTTGAATAACCAGTTATTTAGTAAACGTTGAGCTAGAACATTCCTCGACACAGACGACATTTTGGATATTAAAAGTAGTAGATGTGTCTTGACTGACATGTTATACATATCTTCTATATGTACCATTCTATAATTGTACTATATTATAACATATTGTAATCCTATCAACTATTCTATTCAATAATCACATTATTTTAAATTACATTAAGTGAGCTGAATTCATACCTTGTTAGAGTATATTGTGATTTCATTTGATCCCACCGATATACACCGTCGTTGAGACTTAGTTCCTTTAGATTAGTTTTAATTAGTTCAATTTAAAGGACATTAATTAAAAATAGGTAGTTCAGATTTAACCTAAAATCAGTATTTCTAATATCTCATTGAAAATTTAATGAATCCTTAATGTCTGCTCAGATTAATAAAGCACATGATTTTTCAGCAACAAATCTACACCAGTTCAGCTTTTGAATTGAATTAATATTTTTCATATTATTATGACATCATGATCTAGTATGCCAATGAGTTAATTGGGTGATTACATCCTTTAATCACAAAATCTACGGTGTCTATGTACATTTGAATCAGATATATTATATTATTATCAATATTATATTTTAAGGTTACCTGTATCATATTGCTTTGTGTACTAGACATAAAATCTAGTTATTTTCTCTGCCAATAAAGCAATAAATTGATCAGTGTTGTATTGTTTTTAAATACACATTTAAAGGATTAATAAACAATTGATTAAAATGCTATCATTGCTTATATTATCCCAATACCATTGTGTGACAGTTTGTAAATCTCTTGAATCTCGTGTTCTTTTTAAAATTACAAATATGTGAATTACTTTGTTCGCATAGGCAGCTTGAAATACTGTGTTATTCAATTAATTCGAGGTTGACTTTACAGCAGATATACAGCATTATAGTTTAAATAATTAAAAACCCGGTTTAAATTGAAATTATCTGACATTTTACTGGTTAACCATGAATAAAAATTTTTATAAACAATTTATTTTGGAATAATTCTATCCATTATAGTTTTAATTATATGGTTTATTTCATTTTGTATGATTTTATACTATTATTGTTAAGCGCATTCGAACACTTTATAGTGGAATCTGCGCTATATAAATTATGTAATAATAATAATAATAAATAATAAAATATAAATTAATATTGCCGGATATTTAACCGTGTAACCGTGAATATAATATATTAATTGATATTAAACTGTTTAACAGTGAATATAAAATATTAACTGATATTTAACCGTCTAATAAACATGATTTTATTCAATATGGTATTCTATATTCAAAGTTAGATGGTTTAAATATTATGATTCAACTGTAAAATGTCAGATAATATTTTACGGCTACAAGGTTTATTTCTACCCACATCAATAGATCTCGAAAGTTCGAAAAAAACCTAATTTGTAGTCATTATAATTAATCGCATTAAAATTAATTAATTTAGAAATTCATCCGCAATGTTTAATATCTCGACGACGGCGACTAACGGCAAAAAATGCGTGGACACTCTACTTAATCTCATTCAAATTAATCTAATTAAAATTAATCTTAAAGTCTAAACGGCCCGGCGACGGCGTGTGTCGGTACGACAGCATTGAATCACAATACACTCTAACGGGGTATAAACTTAACTCACTTAATCTGGTCTAATATAAAGATATAGAAGTGATTATTGAATAGATGAGTTGATAGGATTACAATATATGTTATAATACAGTAGAATTATAGAATGGTATATATAGAAGATATGTAAAATATGTCAGTATACCATTAACTCTTCTACAAGACATATCTACTACTTTTAATGATCAACATGTCGTCAGTTTCTAGAAATATTCTAGCTAAACGTTTACTAAATAACTGGTTATTCATGAATCCTCTAGACTCGTACAATACGGCTCGTTGTGATATTGATGAAAGTCTGAAAGGACTAAGTTGGTTACACAACCTAACCACGCCTTCCTCTACATCATCCAGTAGCCAGAAATCACCTGTTTCAACAGATAATCACAATAACATATTGGTTCATCCACCAGTATTTAATTCAAATAGTTCTACAGAATATAAAGTACATAAGAATAGCGGTACCATTAGACCTTCACATTCTTACGCCACTCTGATCTCTATGGCCATTAACGAAACACAGGAAAAGAAAATGAACATTTCATCAATTTACAAGTGGATCACTGTAAACTTTCCTTATTACAAAATGGCTGATACTCATTGGAAAAATTCAATCCGACATAATTTATCTTTGAATAAACGCTTTGAGAAAGTTCCACGGAGAAATAATGAATCTGGTAAAGGTGGATATTGGAGAATAAAACCAGAATTTAATGACGTCAGTAGACAACATGTCGGTATAAAGAAGAGAATCAGCAGTGAAGAAAGTAGTTTAAGTCCATCATGTAAAAGAATCAAGTTACAAGTAGAATCTCTGGCTGTAATAAACCATAATTTTGATGAAGAATACGACAATGTTTCAGATGATGGTATTATGACTTATCCAATGTCTTCATCAGTTTCAAATTGTGACGTCAACTCTGATGACTTGACGTGTTTTGATGATTTGCTTGTGTTTAACTTTACTGATGAATCAAAAAATCAACAACTAAATGATATTTGTTCAGATCTAACAGCAGATGCTATTTGTGATGATGATTGGTGGAACAAAGCTTTAGGTTTTATAGGCGAACCTAATGAACTAAGTGATGATAAAAATAATAAACTTAATACATCAGATTTGTTTTCATCTTTAAATAATGATGATCAAGAAATATTTATTCCTGATTTAAATAATGATGATAACGAAATATATCTTCCAACTTTAGATAATGCTGATGATGATGTTGATATATGTAATTTGTTTCATGTCGATCATATTTTTTAAATATTATTTAATTCTTTTGTAAATCTAATTATACATAGTGCTGCCTTATTTATTTGTAACTATTTGTTTCATTCCAATTGTTTAAAGTAAATTTGTAGAGAAATAATGTTTTAGTTTTATACAATCCCCCAGTATGTTATTCATACATCTTAATATATAACATATCGTATATAATATATCGCCCCTATGCCTGTTTATTGATGTGTTCAAGGCTTTTGATTTTTGCCATAGAGAAAGTCCATGGAATAAACTCCTTAAATTCCTTGGAAATGGCAAGATTCTGAAGGCGGTGCAGTCATTGAACACTAATACCAAAAGTGTATTTCGTACGTGTTATCATACAAGAATTACAAGAGATTGGTTTGATGTTAATTTAGAAGTTAAACAAGTTAAAGTGTGTCTTTTGACACCAACAATATTCTCCGTTTTTATAAACGATCAAGCTGTGGAATTCAGTAATTTAAACTTAGGTATAAAAATAAACAGTGTAACCCTAAGTATATTGCTTTTATGCGCGTGATACTGTTCTTCTTGTTTCTAGTGAAGAAGAACTTCCGAAGATAGGCTTAGACACTGTTCATGTCTGGGGTAATAAATGGAAATTAGACATTAATAGTAAAAAGTCAAAATTCATATTATACACTTTCGCCACCAACAATAATACCAGAACAGACTTAAGTTTAATGGGGTACAGTTGAACATAGTATGAAGATATGAATTTGGTCAGTTCTAGGACAAAGCAATCACCTGAGGTATCTAGGTCATTGACTATAAGTTCGAAAACTGTAATAGCCATCATTTGTGATATCTGGTCCATAAATAGTCTCAAATATAGGCTACACCCAAAGATCCTTGGGTAAGGAAGGTATTAATATTAGCAGAAAATTCAAATGAAGAACATCAACTTAATTTGTGTAACGGTAGGTAACAAATTTGACCTTAAATCCCTGTGTAAGGTATTATTTATAGTTATAGAATCTAGGCGGTTTTCTAACATGCTATCGTCTAATTTCTAACTTCTATTCGTGTAATTTCTGACTTTTATTGTCTTAATTTAAAAGTTACATGAATAGAAGTTAGAAATTACATAAACAGAAGTTAGAAATTACATAAACAGAAGTTAAAAATTACATGAACAGAAGTTAGAAATTAGACGATAGCACGTTAGAATTTTGAATCTAATATACCGACATATTTTCCCGGCCCATCACGCCCTTGAATCAAACACATGCGTGTTACTGCGTTATCTGATATGTAATAGTGAAACGTTAACACCCCACACTTGTATATAACACAGTTAAGTGCTAGAATAATTAAGAATTAATTTTCCGGGCTGTGATTATCACTTATACCACACACAATACTTATATATTATCAAAAACAGATGTCAGGTTCAATTCAATTCGTTGGTGTATTGTGCGTATTTAAATAATTGTGACATTAATATCTTGTACTGTCTAGCGATACAGAGACTTTTATCGAACTCAAGTCACCATGAAATATTTACTTACAACTTTGATGATTGTTGCAATCATCTGCACAACTACAGGTATGTTTAGTTTCATCAATTTATCGTTTATATTTTGTTTATTTTTCTATAACTATATCAATCCACTTCCTGCTGCTTTTAAATTCTGATTAAATTTATATATGCGGTAAACGGTTTCTGGCAATATGCTAGGAGACAAAATGTAATGAAATAATGCTTAATGTAACCGCAACAGCAAACTAAGTGATCTTGAAAATGCAGCCTTGCAGGGAATCTTTCGAATTAATTTTCAACCCATTGACAATCTTATATTGTATATAAAAGAAACAAATCCGAAACGCCCGTCAAAATTTAAATCCTGCTCCTGATGTTGCAATTATATGAATATAAAATATAAAACTAACAAGAATCATCTTGATTATAAATTCAGCATCCCAGTTTCACATACAGGGCTATCAAACGCCCTGAAAGTTGTGAACATTGTTAATGTGTCTAAATTTGATTGTTGATGCCATAGCACCGAACATTGTGTTGGATCTCGTAAACTTTAACAATGCATTATTACATTTATTACAAATATCACATCAGAGTAAACGAATGAATATATCTCGCAAATGCATAATCAGAAATTGATGAATTATTTTCGTAAAGATCAATAAGAATGCTACTCTAACACATTCTCCTGTCCGTATTCCATATCTAAAATGTGATTAATGTTTATGTTTCACAGAAGTATTTGCCAGCTGGCCATCGCGCATCAGTTCATGTGGTTTAATAAGATGCTTTATTAATGCTTGTACCAACAAAGTTTGCTTTGGCGGACAAGTATGCAAGTAAGTCAATTTTTCTAAATAAAAAAATTGGTTTTATTTTACGTTCTCAAGAAAAGCATGTGAAAGGTGTCCATTTATCTTGAATCATATGCACATTAGTATGAAGACTCTATTACAGTAATGTCACTATATTGTCTTTAAAAAAAATGTTCCAGACACTTTGAAGTGGTCCCCAGTGAGTATTACTCATTGATATCACTGGAAGAGGTATGGGGGTAAATATTTATTGTTGAACCAGATTTTGATTTCAATAGCTGGCGTCTTCATTTCATTTCTTCTCTAATGCCTCCGTCAGACCGGGGTGGTGTCCTTACTGCGCTGCTGGGACCTTACAGCGACCAGAAAATGCACAAGGTCGCCGGCAAACGTCAACACAACGCGGGAAAATGTCCCAAAAATTTACAAACTTGAAAAAAGTCGCGTTCTTACAGCTTTCAAGGTCAGATCGCAGAACCTTGGCGTTGGTTTTGAACATGGTCAAAACAAACGCCGTGACTTGGCGATCATTGGGGACCATAGAGACCCGGCACGACATCTGGCGTTTCCACCACACTTTTACCACGCTTATGGCGATCTTGACGCGCTCTGCGACCATTTTCTGTCGCCGTAGCGTCGCAGTAAGGACGCCACCCCGGTCTGACGGGGGTATAACCAAACGCACAAACTGACCAGCGTCGTGTGGACTTTGCACTAACAGATATAGGCAATGTACTAATGATATGTAAAACAATGACAATGCGCAGAAGCTTGGGTTCCTCTGTAAACTTCAATACCAATAATAGCGAATGCCAATTAACTCCCATTAGGTTTTGTCTTTGGAAGCCCTCTTTATTAAAAACTGGATTGAACAATGGCCATTTAAATCTGAATTTTAATGTCAAGGTCATTTTGAGTAACAGTGTTATTGCATATTATATTATATTGTTAATATCAAAGTTAAAGTTATTAATGTTATTGTAAATGCCGTTCATAAGACGTCACGCAGATCACCTACTGCGAAAAATAGCACAAAACAGCGATAGAATTCTGGTAATTAATATGTCGGCTTATCCCCGCACTAAAAGGCCAATAATATTCCAGAACTGTTCTGTCTTAATATTATTATAATAGTATTGTTTATGAATATATTGGGTAATTAATTTCCACTTATTATTGGCTTAACCTTCACTCCGCAAATCATAGAGGCTAGGCCTTAATATTATGACATGATCGTCATGGATTTTTTATACGCCCATAATGTGGACGTACAGTGTATATTGCCGTCGCCCCTGTCTGTGTGTGTGTGTGTGTCTTGTGTTTCGCCTACAGGCCGAAATTCTTAACAGATCATTTTGAAACTTTGCATACCTATTCCTGATATCCTAAGGATGAACCCTATTGTTTTTTGGTGATTGCCCGATCACCAGGGGCAGAGCCACGTCCATTTTTCTATGTGTCTCGTGGGTGTTGTCTGCAGGCTGCGATTCTTAATGGGTAGTCTTGGAACTTGGGATTGTATTCCTTACAGCCTAATGACGGCATGTCCCGACTCCCAGGGGCAGAGCCACGCCCAATTTTTGTGTTTATCGTATACAGGCCGCAATTTTGAATGGATCAGCTTGGTACTTGGCATATGTATTCCTTATAGCCTAAGGGCGGCAACTATTGATTTTCGTGCATGCCCTGGCCCCCGGGGCAGAGCTACGGCCAATATTTGCCTTTAACGCCTGATGGCCACAATTCTGAATGGTATATCTTGAAACTTGGTATACTTATTCCTTATACCCTAAGCACGGCAACTATTGATGTTGGTGCACGCCCTCCTCCCCCCCCCCCCACACACACACATCCGGCCTTTCGGAGGTGCCACACCCAGGTTTTGTTGATATTTTGTCTGTAAATGATATACAGGTTGCAAATATTAACAGATTTGGATCCAATTCGGAATGATCCAGCATAGGGTTGTACCTAAATATTGGTCCATGTCCAACCCCTAGGGTCAGAGTAACGCCCAAGTTTTGTTTTTTTGTCTACAGGCTGGAATTCTAAATGGATCATCTTGGAACTAGGCATATTTATTCCTTATTCTGTAAGGATAGCAACTACATGTATTTATTTTGGTGCATGTCCCGACCCCAGGGGTGTGGTACCACACCCACTTTTTGATAGTTTCTATCTGTAAACTTGCAATAATTAACAGGTTTTGTTCAAATTCAGCATATCAATCATTTCAATAACAGGGTGATACCTATTTATATTGTTCCATATCCAACCCCCAGGGGCAGAGCCACGCCCAATTTTTGAATTTATCGTCTACAGGCTGCAATTCCGAATGGATCATCTTGGAACTTTGCATATTTATTCCTTATACCGTACCTACTTTTTTGTTAATATTTTGTCTGCAAAACAAACCCAACGCCTAGCCTTCGTTGCCTCTTGTCATATTACAGCCATTTAATATTTCATTCTCTTCATTTTAAAAAGTACCATATCATTCAAAGTAGGAATGTGGACGTATATTGCAGCGTCAACAATGCTCTCGTTTTGCATAAGTTGATGTGGTATTTATTATACCCTGATACAATTAACGATGTAAAAGCTAAATCCATCTATTGCTAGTCTTTCTTTTGTTCTCAAATGTTATATAGATTATTCATTCGACATTTAATTTATTCACATGACAAGCCCATAATCAAGTCTCTACTACTTCGGTTGGTTGCTATTTTGAACGGATCGAAACACGATCGCCATTTTATAATTTGATTTAAAATTGGATAAGATAATCGAGATTTTATTTATTATCGTAACAACGGTAGCAATGAAAACCAAGACTACCCTATTATTCAAACAGTCGTAAGATTGCTCAGTTTGAAGTAATTTTATTGAAATTTTCAATCTATTACTTTTTCATTATCTATTTTTAGACTATTATAACATGTCACCTCTGTATTTAAATATACATAATACATCTGTAATAAATAATCAATGTATTTTTTATTTCAGATCAAGTTGTAATGGCTGTGTAGCTACATGTATCTAACAAAACCAATCATAATACCAAAAAATGATGGTTAAAATGGAATCTTAACAGAATTATAAAAATGTTATATTGTATAGAAACAGCGCACATATACATGTAGTAACTAATAAATAATACATAATATTTACTGATAATTGTTTCATCATTATGTAGCTAACCGTTCAGTATACGAACGCCCAATTAGAATAACTCCAAGGTAACAACGACATGACCTTTCCCTAAAAGCGAGTAGACGGGTGAAAGAATACCTAGAACAGTGCTTCTAAATCTAGATCCCAGTGATACGGTCGGGCTGTTCAGGAAATAAATCCTTGTAGAAATCAAAATGAAAATACCCCCCGAACAACACACTTGACAAGACGGTGTGTAGATATAGTTGCTTAATCTGAATATGATATACGCGTGTTCACACATTGTGGAAATAATTATATTGAACTGAATAATCTGATGTGTCGAATTGCACAATCCATAATAGGGAATTCCAAAATCAGTTTTATGGAAATGTGCAATTCGTCTAGATCACGCCTGTTTTATATTAGCAATTACTAAAATGAACAGTAGTATTAAGTTCGTACAGGAGGCCAATATCGGGATAAATGGTAACATGTATTCTAAGCTATCTACGAATATTAGAAAACTGATTTATAGATATTAAAGGGAAGATAACCCTGCTTTCGCTTCTTGATGTTGCTTATATATCAGACAAAAACATTCTTTCTTTATAAATTTACTTTATACAATTTAAATAAATCAAATACATATTATTTATAGCACTATGTATAATTAAATTTTACCAAAGACATACATGTTTAGAAAATATGATCAACATGAAACAAGTTACATATATCAACATCATCATCAGCATTATCTAATGCTGGAAGATATATTTCGCTGTTATCATTATTTAAACCGGGAATATATATTTCTTTCTCATCATTTAAATCAGGAATATATATTTCTTTATCATCATTATTTAAAGATGAAGAAAGGTCATCACTTAGTTCATTAGTTTCACCTATAAAGCCTAAAGTACAGATATCATCATCATCATCATCATCAACATTTTCTAAAGCTGGAATATATATTTCTTGGTCATCATTATTTAAAGATGAAACCAGATCTGATGTATTAAGTTTATTATTTTTATCATCACTTAGTTCATTAGGTTCGTCTATAAAACCTAAAGCTTTGTTCCACCAATCATCATCACAAATAGCATCTGCTGTTAGATCTGAACAAATATCATTTAGTTGTTGATTTTTTGAATCATCAGTAAAGTTAAACACAAGCAAATCATCAAAACACGTCAAGTCATCAGAGTTGACGTCACAATTTGAAACTGATGAAGACATTGGATAAGTCATAATATCATCATCTGAAACATTATTGTATTTTTCATTAGAGTTATGGTTTATTACAGCCAGAGATTCTTCTTGTAACTTTATTCTTTTACATGATGGACTTAAACGACTTTCTTCACTGCTGATTCTCTTACTTATACCGCCATGTTGTCTACTGACGTCATTGAATTCTGGTTTTATTCTCCAATATCCACCTTTACCAGATTCATTGTTTCTTCGTGGAACTTTCTCAAAGCGTTTATTCAAAGATAAATTATGTCGAATTGAATTTTTCCAGTGAGTATCAGCCATTTTGTAATAAGGAAAGTTCACGGTGATCCACTGGTAAATAGATGAGATGTTCATTTCCTTCTCCGGTGATTCGTTAATGGCCATAGAGATGAGATTGGCGTAAGAATATGCTGGTCTAATTGCGTCGGCATTCTTATGCACTCTATATTCTGTAGAACTATTTGAATTTAATACTGTTGGGTGGGCAATGATGTTACTGTAGATATCTGTTGATACTGGTAATTGGTGACCAATAGATGATGTGGATGTAGTCGTAGTTAGATCGTGTAACCAACTCAGTTCTGTTAGACTTTCATCAATATCAAAACTTCCTGTATTGTACGAGTCTAGAGGATTCTTGATTAACCAGTTGTTCAGTAAACGTTTAGCTAGAATATTTCTGGAAACAGACGACATGTTGATTATTAAAAGTAGTAGATATGTCTTGTAGAAGAGTAAATGGTATACTGACATATTTTACATATCTTCGATATATATATATACCATTCTATAATTCTACTGTATTACAACATATTGTAATCCTATCAACTCATCTATTCAATAATCACTTTATTTTAAACTACATTAAGTGAGTTGAATTCATACCTAGTTAGAGTGTATTGTGATTGTATGTTGTCGTACCGACACACGCCGTCGTCGAGACTTTATGTCTTTTAGATTAGTTTTAATTAATTTAATGTTAATGAGATTAAATATAACATACATATATCTTTGCCGTCATTCCCCGTCGTCGAGATTTTTCAATATTTTAGATGAATTTCTAAACTAATTAATTTTAAGGAGATTAATTCTACTGACTACTGTATAGGGTTTTTGAAGTTTTGAGCTTAATTTATTTAAAATAGGTAGAAATATATCGCTTAATTAATCGTGTAAACTTTAATATAGAATATTAACTGGTATTAAGTGAATAAAAACTATTAACTGGTATTTAACCGTTTAGCCATAAACATAAAATATTACCAGATAAATATAAATATTAACTGTTAATTAATTGTTTACGATTTAACTGTGAGTACACAATAGCAACTGATATTTAACCGTCTACTAAACATAAACATAATTTAGCATTGAAATCCGAATTTCGATTTTAAACGGAGTGCGTAATTACGTAATATTTGTAATTTAAACTATAATACTGTATATCTGTATAACATATTCAAAGTGGCATATTATATTAAGCTGCCTATACGAACAAAGTAACCTATAAATCTATCTTCTATCTATCTATCTATCTTCTATATATATATTTGTGACTGTCGTTTGTCTGTCTGTCTGTCTGTTCGGGGTTGGCGGCTACACTAGGTCTGCCCCGAATCTGAAATTTGGGGTATAGGGGTAGCTCGGACCGGGGAGTAACATAGGCCAGGGGCGTTAGTCTACCACTTCCGGTTTCGGAGTTATGAATCCCGAGCGAAGCCGGGTATCCTGCTAGTTAGAAATATTTAAGAAACATTTATACAAAAACAAAAAACAAAAAAAACACACACACAATTTTAAAAATGACACGAGAGTAAGGAAGGTACAGAAGCGTATAGGGGTCATGCAACATTTTCTAGAAGGTCTCGAGATCCTGTGAACCTGTGATACTTTATCAAAATCCCGTGATCACCTGGTAATTATCTCCAGATCTCAATTTAATGTTCTCCAGATCCCCTGATAATTTTCCTGGGATAGTTCCATCCTGAGTTAACGATCTCAAGAATTCGAGTTAATGTTCTCGAGATATTGACATTGAGATCTCGAGTTAATAGTGTCGAGATCTTGACGACATATAATAATGTCCCCAGATCTACAGTTTTCCCGAAACCTTATGATAGTGATAGTGTCTGCACGTTGTGAAACAACCATTGGCCCAGCCGCCAAATACTTCACACCTTAATTGATAATAAAAAAAATGACCTCGAAGAACTACTCTGGCATTTGATGGAAAGGAAAACTGCTAACTATATACGAATAAACGGACAAATTAATGATAGGGTCCATCCACTGTCTTATGGTCCTAATGCTTTACACTAAATTTGAAAAATGATTAAAATCGATAGGGTTCGTCGTTTTATGGCCCCAAATGCTTCATACCAAATATGAAAATCAAAACCTTACTGCGTTAGCTTTGAATATGCGAAGCTTTGATTTACAGACTTGCTTGTTAAATTATTTCAATTTAATGTGTGGGCGACGTTTTATTTAAAATATCATAATTTGCATTTTTTCAGGCCACATGGTTTATTGTCTTGTGGCCCAAATCCTTCGCGGTGGATTTTAGGACAAAAATCTTGAAAATCTCTCGCGTTCACCAGACGGAAAAGTATGAATAACACAATAACGAAAAGTCGGGGAGCGCTGTAAATCAATAAGGTTCATTCTCCGAAAATCTAGCTTCTATCCATTCACAAGGATAAATCCAACGGAACACCGAAAATAAATAGGGGTCCCTCTACTGATGACACCAATGCTTCAAAAGTAACTGGAAAGATAGCCACGCAATGTGTGGAAAGAAGCTCACTCACCATCTATGTCTCAACAGCAGATTATCGGAAAGGAAAACCTGGATGTTGAATAAATTGAATAAGGATCTAGCATCCTTCAAGAAATCTAATCTTTATCTAATCTTTTTTATATATATCTCTGTGACAGCAAACCTTATATGTTTTAAATACGACAGGGATCATCCTTGTCGCGGAACACTGAAAATCGCTAAGTGCTGAAACTAGTTGCCACCTAAATAGGGGTAACTCCTGGGCTTTAGTGGTGTAAACTGATAATACCCAACTAGTGCAGAACATCACACTAATTCATGAAACTAGTTGCCACTTCCAGTAGTGTAACCTGCCTGATGCATCCAAGGCAGTGTAATGTTACACTTAAATAGCATTACCCCTCAAGGATGTTTTCTAAATTACACTTTCATTTTAATCATTAATTTGTTTTGTTGGATATTTATTTCAAGTCGACAACTTCTAAGTCCAGAAAACTTGAAATTTGCTATAGGTCTCTATGATAATTAGTATAGGGTGTTTAGCCCTAACCTAGGTTACATATAGACCGTCGGCTACTTCGTTTCATTTTACAACGACATTAAATTGACAAATAACCATCAGATTGATTCAAATTCAACTGCGGTTAGGCAATTAGACAATCTGTATCAATTTACAATGAATATAAATCATGAGGAAAAATCAATACACATACCCCTACAACTTAGCTGAATAATGTTGTTTATTCATTTATGCACTTCACCTGAATCAAGAATTTTTAATAACACCCATTTCTAACAGTATATCAATAGAGTTCATGACCTCGATGCTTCACACAAAAATTTAAAAGGTGAAGCCTCTATGACGTTAACAAGGCTTTCTGGGAGAGGGGTGGGTTATATTTAGGAACAGAAGGTAACAGAATGCTGAATATCCATAGGGTCCGTCCTCTCATCGACCCATATTTGAAAAAATACGGACAAATGGAGTAACTCTGGAACAGATGTTTGCGGAATACTGAAAATCGAAAGACCCCAGTGCTTCAAAACACATGCGAAAAACAAAATCAGTTAAAAACTGTAGCCTCTAATGCGTTAACATTAAATTGGGATCTCGAGAACATTAAATTGGGATCTCGAGAAAGTATCACAGGTCCACAGGGTCTCGAGGTCTTCCGTATTGGAACAATATAAGCAATGATAGCATTTAATAACTTGTTTATTAACCCTTTAACCGTGCATTTTTAAATTCAACACTGAATAATTTATTGCTTTGTTGCCAAACGAAATAACCAACATAATACAGGATCACTTAAAATAAAATATTGTAAATATTTATCTTATTAAAATGTACATGTATATTGTTTGATTAAAGGCATTAATGCAGTCAATTAATTGATGATCAAACTAGACGCCATAACAAGCCCATATAATATGAAAACTATTAATTCAATTGAAAAGCTGAAATGCTGTAGATTTGGCGCTGAAAAATCAGGTGCTTTAGAAATATAAGCAGAAAACACGACATGATTAAGATTCATTAAATTTTCAATGAGATATTAGAAATACTGATTTTAGATTAAATCTGAACTACCTATTTTTAATTAATCTCCTTTAAATTGAACTAATTAAAACTAATCTAAAGCGACTAAAAGTCTCGACGATGGTGTATATCGGTGGGATCAAATGAAATCACAATATACTCTAACTAGGTATGAATTCAACTCACTTAATGTAATTTAAAATAATGTGATTATTGAATAGAATAGTTGATAGGATTACAATATGTTATAATATAGTACAATTATAGAATGGTACATATAGAAGATATGTATAACATGTCAGTATACCATTCCACAAGACACATTACAATAGGATTACAATATGTTATAATTCAGTAGAATTATAGAATGGTATATATATCGAAGATATGTATAACATGTCAGTATACCATTAACTTTTCTACAAGAACTATCTACTACTTTTAATAACCAAATTGTCGTCTCTATCGAGGAATGTTCTAGCAAAACGTTACTAAATAACTGGTAATTGAAGAATCCACTAGACTCGTACAACACAGCCACACTGCAAATAATATTTATTTGTGTATTTTTACCGTAATTTGACTGGAAGAAAGTTGCCAGTAAATTGACTGTATTTTAACACTGACTTGTAAATTCACACCTAAATGGTAGATTTAGATTTACAAACAGCGCAAGCGAATTATTGAAATAAAATTAAACCATATGTTATTTTGATAAATCATACCAAATTTCTTGTCTGAGTATAAGTATAACTGAGTCAAGGGGCAAACAGGATATTTTTAATGAAATGTTTTTTTTTGTTCACTAACATTTTGTTTGAAAATATTTTCAATTTCGTCTAAAAAGCCTTAGTATGTAAAATGTGTATATAATCCTTACTTTAATTTTCTCATCTTTCAAATTCCAGGGGGGAATACAATAAACAAACACAAAAACAAACAAAAAGTAGTTAAAACATCTTCCCATAAATATTTAAAAAGATACCCCCCCCCCCCCTCCACACAATGAATTAAAGATAAAATTCTGTTAATGGGCCCTAAACTTCTAAGCCCCCTTCCCCCCAATCTGTGTTTAAGTATAAAATTTATAATAATGAAGTAAAAAATATGACCTACATGTTTTTAATTATCTTATATGCTTAAAGTAGCTATAGAATATAATAAAACATTGGTACCAAAACTTTCCAACATAAAAAAATGGGCATGTCATTTCAAAATTCCCCACAACATCTGCCAGTTTGAGTAATTTTTAAAATATATAAAGATTGAAGTTTAAAATACGACCTTCGCGTTTTTAATTATTTCATATACTTAGGAAAGTAGTAAGTGACAGAATTTCCAGCAGCTACCTAAATTATAATTTTGCCCAAAAAAAATAAAATTCTGTTATTGACCCTAAAACTTCAAACTTTTTTTCTTTAAGAATATCTGTGTTCACAAACTTTTTAAGAATATAAATAATAAAGTAAAAAATACGATCTTCGTGTATATAATTATTTCATATACTTATGAAAGATGTTGCAGAATTTCCAATAGCTATCTCAATTACTACTATTATAATATTACAAAAAAAGAATAAAATAAAGTATCGGTACCAAATTTTCAACATAAACATATGGGCGTGGCAGTTTCAAAATTCGATTTAAAGGGACTATCCCGATTTCAAGAGAGTCTCAAAAATAAAAGTCGGAGTACGTATGAAATCTAAGCGCCAAAATATAGAGGAATGGTGTAGCCTATTTACCTTTTCTCAAAATTACAGCTCAAAATATTGAGTCGTTTGGACGTGAACGTCAAAACTGCCTATCGGGACACGTAACCCTTTTATGATTTCGGGTCAGTTTTTTCGTTGGGTGACCTGATAATCGACTCCCGTTCCTTGAAAGGTCTATATAGTGAATGACCCATGTGCTCTACTTGATAACGAAAGGTAAATTTCACCTACACATTATTTTTATAAAATAAAATTCTGGTTTTATCCAGACACCGCATAATACAGCTTGGAACACCGGTCTCCATTTCCAGATGAAGACTGACGGGTTTAAGTTGTTTGAAAACTTATCACAAATGTAACACAAAATTAAAGAGTTTTATTCTCCAAAAAATATCGGTATTAGCCCTTTAAACAAAAACTACCAACTCTAAAATTTCAAACTAAACATTTCTGTAAATCGTAGAACACAGCCTTTCAGAGCGCAAGTTTTTAAAGCAATGAATTTTATTTTTCAATATTAAATTATTGGTTTATTGTATTCTAAAAATACTTTTTACAAGCGCTATCGTCACTGTATCGGTCTGTATTTCCCTATGAAAAAAATGTTTAATGCTTTATAATTCCAATAAAACTATACAAAAAAAAAGCTACGGTTAACAGTATCAATCAAATAAATAAAATCTGTTGGGCTTATTGACAGGACCCTAAATTCCTCCGAAAATTGATATACGCTCACCATCAGTTTGCCGATTGTTTACATTGGTTTTGGCGGCTTCTGCCCTGAAGGTAGTTATAACGAAGTCTTTGAGCGCATGGCTCTTAGACTTCGTTACTAAAGTGACTATCCTGAAGGTAGTCTCGGTCACCCAGTACCTCCTAGTCTTCAACATACGGAGGTAGAATATTTTTTGGGATGATAGAGACTATCCTGAAGGGAAATCTCGTGCTGTGTGTCATGGCGGCCCTGACCAATCATAAGGCGTGAGCGGTCTGTCTCATTCTATTTATAACTCTATGGTCTACCTATATGACGTCAATGGTCACACCGGTGCATTCCGATGATTGTAAGTGAATTTGGTGTTGTCCGTTGTTTCCGGTGATTTGTCTATATTTTTTTTTATAAATTTATGGTCTTCCCGCTTCAAATTGCAGTGTATTTGATTTTTCTGACATAATCATGTGTATTTACCTTGTTAAAACAGGTATAGCTTGGATCGTCTGAACTCTATTTAGATTTAGTGAAGGTGAAGATAATGGTCTTAATACTAATAATTAACTACTAAATTTCAGTTATTTTGTAGCCTAATAATGGATAATATATCGCCTTTGAATATATGATATGAGTATTAGTTATTTACTGGCGCATTCATGATTACATGAATTAGAAAAGATAAAATCCCCTTTCGTTTGTCCAAAGAAACGTGTTGCTATCAAAAAGTAACCTAATTACTAAAAACAGTCTACTTAATACTTTCCGTTTATTTTATTTAATGCTACATGTGTAGATCGTCTTGTTTAATACTATTACTATTTAAATAGCCATAACATGCACGAGGTTTCACTAAAGTCACACTCATCGAGCGATTTTTCTTGTATGCTTGCTCGATTCCCCATTATTGTATCTGACTTATCAGGTTGATTTCCGCTCATGTTGTCATAATGTTCCGGTTCCATGAATTTCGAGAAATGTTTTGGAGAACTGATTTTCAAGATTTGAAAATCCTTGTATTCTCGCTCTGGACTTCGCGTCCCCGACTTCTCGCTCCGTCGTGTTCTCGCCTTTGAAAATCCTCGACATCTCGCTCCCTCGGGTATGGAAGCCTATTGCGGCCATTTCATAATCTCGAATATGAGAACGCGAGGAAACAGGGTGAGAATGTTCTCGCACTCTCACCCTTGACTTCTCGCTCCATTGCCTTTCAAAATCCTTGACTTCTCGCTCCCTAGCCTTTGAGTAAATTTCTCGACTTCTCGCTCCCTCACTTCGTCACAATCTCGACTTCTCGCTCCCTCGCCTTGGAAGTGCAATGTATGCGCATGTCCACTGACTACCGTATCGGCATTTATATTTGAACAAGGATTCAAATATTGAAATAGACAGAAATGTTTGGGGTTCTAGAAATTTTAATAGTCCTAACCAATTTTAATCGGTTCTTTCACAGATAGTATCGTATTCTGTAACTCAATTTTAAGTCTTCAGTCGAATCCATCTTTGCTCTCTAACTTCATCAACGTTCATTAGGACTTTTCATACGTGCCCCCCTCCCTCCCCCCAGCCCCCTTGTCAGTGGTGTAGGACGGAGGGTCTGGCAAGGGACAACGTATAAAAGCAAACAAGGTCCCGTGTCCAGAATAGAAATGAAGTGGGAACTACAGTGGCTTAATGCGTAGGACATTTGCTTGCTAACTTCATCCAAGTTCATCGGGATTTTTCTGGCGGGGTTCAGCCTTGCCCAGCAAAGGACAATGTATGTATAGTCGTTTGATGGGATTAAAAAAAAAGACCAGGTACCTTGTCTTGTCCGTATTCAAAAAATTAAGTGGGAACTACGGTGGCTCAGTGAGTAGGACGTTTGCTCGCTAACTTCATCAAATTTCATCAAATTTCATCAAAATTTTTCTGGCGGGTTTCACCCTTGTCAATGGTATAGTCGCAGAAAAAACTGAGGTTCCATGTAGGCCTAAACCTTGGCATTTGGGGAGGGGGGGGAATAATCCTGATGAACTTTTTGAAGAAGTAAGAGAGCAAACGTCCTACTCACTGAGCCACCGTAGCTCCCACTTCATTTCTATACCGGACATGGTACCTGAAAATACGGCCTTCCTTACCTCGCTAGAGTCAGTATGCGCGACACAACACGTTGTTAAAAATACGTCCCCTTCTGCTAACCAACGCACCTAACCGGCTTGACAGAAGCCATTAAAATCTAAATATAGGTTAACGCACAAATTTACGTAACTGCAGGTGAAACAAAATTGGAATTTCTGAAAAAAATTTGTTTGTAATTGGACTAAGCAAGGCAATAAATGACTGACGATTCTCAACATTTAAACCCCAATTCATACCGTTATTTTATCCATAATTACTGACTTTTTTTCAGCTGCTTCCAGAAAGCAACACAATGGCTGTTTTAGTCTCTATAATTGTGTTTGTTTTAACATTATGTCAAATGAATCAGATGGTTAATGGTCTGAAGATTGGTTCTTTCAACATACAAATTTTTGGTGAATCAAAATCTAAGAAACCAGATGTCATGGATATTATTGGAAAGGTATTAAGCCAAATGCACTCTATTCCCATATCCAATTTAAAGAGAAGTTTCTATATAAAATCAATTTCTAGAAAAAATAAAATGTCATGTTAAGTTTTATACGCCCACATTTTCATGTGGACGTATATTGTCGTCGCCCCTGTCCGTCCGGATGTCACAATTGTTTGTGGACACTCTACAGGTCACAATTCTTATCCGATTTTGACGAAACTTGAAATATAGGTTTATCTCCAAAAGATCTTGGTTGCTTTTGATATTGGCATGTATCGGATCGAAACTTCATGGATTTTGGCCCCTGTTTGTACGAAAAATCACGTTTTTAGCTTGTGGACCCTATAGAGGTCACAATTTTTATCCGATTTTGTTGAAACTTAAAATGTAAGTTTATAACCCAAAGATCTCGGTTCCTGTCGATATTCGTGCATATTGACGGACGACTGAGTTCGAATTTCATGAAAATCGGCCCAAAACTGACAGACAAAATGGCCGCCCCTCGTTCTCAAATAGTGTAAAAGTATGGTATATCAAGGCTGTGGACCCTATAGAGGTCACAATTTTTATCCGATTTTGTTGAAACTTGAAATGTAAGTTTATAACCCAAAGATCTTGTTTCCTTTTGATATTCGCGCATATGACCGTAACTTCCTGAATTATGGCCCCTGATTGTACGAAAAATCGCGTTTTAGCTTGTCAACCCTATAGAGGTCATAATTTTTATCCAATTTAAAAAAACATTCAAATATATCACCATTATACCCTAAGGATAGTTGAGTTCGAATTTCGTAAATATCGGATTAAAACTGACAGACAAAATGACCGCCCCTCGTTCTCAAATAGTGTAAAAATATGGTATATCAATGTTGTGGACCCTCTAGAGGTCACAATTTTCTTTTGATTTTGATCAAACTTGAAATGTAAGTTAATAACCCAAAGATCTTGGTTCCTTTCGAAATTCGGCATGTCGGATAGTAACTTCCTGAATTATGGCCCTTGATTGTACGGAAAATCGCGTTTTTAGCTTGTGGTCTATGTAGAGGTCACAATTTTTATCTGATTTTAAAAAAAAAATGTGTGAATATATCACCATTACACACTAAGATCATGGATCCTTTTGATAATCACAGATATCTGAACTTAACTTCCTGGATTATGGCCCCTGATTGTTCGAAAAATGGCATTTTTAGCTTGCGGATTCTCTAGAGGTCACAATTGTTTTTCCGATTTTAAAAAAACGTTTAAATATTTCACCATTCCACCAAAAGGAAGGTTGAATTCGAATTTGGGGAAAATCAAAATGAAACTGCCCAACAAAATGGCCGCTCTTTGTACGCAAATTGTGTAAAAGTATGCAATACGAAGGTTGTCGACCCTCTAGTGGTCACAATTTTTGTCTGATTCTGATGAAACTTAAATCATATCTTTATATCCCAAAGATCTCAGTATATTTGCACATTTCAGACCATAATTTTCTGGATTATTGCCCCTGATTGTTTTTTAATAATATCACTATCAGTACCGTATTCAGAATAAATATTCAGTTGTAAATATAGGAAATCCAGTTACTGACCTAGTTAGGGAACAATTTACTCACATGCTTGAACTGTTTAATTCGTTAAAACCTCTCTGGGCTGTAAGTTTATGAATACTGTAGGCCTACATGGCATAATAATCTTTAAGCAGCATTTACTTTAGCAAATGTATAAGATTAACAGTCATAATGAAAGTATCCCAGTGATAAATTTGGTCTGTTTCAAATTTTGTAAATGACAGTTTGGGCCACACTCATACAGCTAACACAAACTTTTTTAAATCAAATTGTATAACTCAGCTAAAAATATCTGAGATTGATCCATCAAATCCATTACTGAGATACGACTCGTAGATAGTCATTTAATAAATCATTTTATTTTTTTCAGATAGTTGTGCGATATGATATTGTTTTGATTTTAGAGATAAGAGATTCAAAGAAAAAAGCAATGCCAAAACTCATGGAGATAATTCAACCACGGTATGTTTGTAATAATTTTGCGTATAGTTTCTGGAGGTTGCTCAATTGTCGATCTGATTAAAACACAGATCCTATTTTGTTTCGTTTTTTATAGTTCAAAATTTCATTTTACTTGTCTTTACTACATTAAGATCCGGAAGAGTTGTTATATAACCCGTGCTCTGGTTGATGTCAGTTGCGGTGAGTTCTTAGAAATGAAATGAAATGGGGTTTAACATCCTACTGTTCTCCTCCAACTGGGCTATTGAAGACGGTCATAAGCCATACAGTGTGCTATGAGGGATATTTTGCCTGGACAGTGGCTCTATGGCCTACTCTTATATTGAATTCCAACTGTCAAGGGATCATTTATGTGCACGCCAATGTGTACATGTGACCTTGTTTTTTGTCCCATCCAAATGACTAGACAGCTGTCCTTATCAGACCCTCTGTCCTGCACCAATGACAAGGGGAAACCACACCGGAAAATCCTGATGAACTTTCCCGACCAACACCGGGTGCGAACCCGGGACCTGTAGGCTAGTGAGCCAGCGTCTTACTCGCTTTGCAACCATGGCCCCTATTCCACTAGAAACATAAGCGCTGATTGGTTAATCAAATTTCTGACGTCATAGAGTCAAAGGCTGCTCATATGACCCCTGGCGTGACCTCCCACTACCACCAGTCAGATCTTCATGTAGTCGAAAATATAAAAAACAGAAACACAATATAGATCTGTATTTTATTAACCAGATTGCTTGATTGTTAGTATGAAACACACTGAATTGATGGAATTGCAATCCATTGACATTATGTCCTGTCACAGCTTTGTAAATTATGAAAATAGATGTTGTGGGACCAGAATTGTTAACTTTTCTCATGGTTACTCAGTTGACGCCATTCCAGACATTAAGCAGTAGAGTATCCATTTAGTAGTTTTACTTCTCTTGTTCATTAGCAATATTGTACATTGTGCATGAAATAGATGATCTAATTATATGTGAATAAATATGACGTCAAACGATATTGATGAATAGAATTTATTATCCAGTTCTGGGGATCCTGAGTATAAGATGGAGATTAGTGATAGAGTAGGAAGAACAACCAGTAAAGAGCAGTATGCTTTCTTGTACAGGTATGAATAGAATTTATGACATAATTCAAACACCCAACATCTTGGGCCTATTATTAGTCACTTTATGTATAATTAAATTAATAAAATCAATGAGTATAATAATATAGATATTTGTAGTTATTTGTTAAGAGATAATTTATGTACAATTATGTGGCGCTCTTTTTCTGTTTTGGCCATGAAATGGTGTAGCGGTTAGGAAGTGTGTGGAATTCTGCTGCAATTGTTGCTCAGGACCCACACCCCAGTAATTTCTCTGCCACCAATGATCTATTGGTCGATCATAAGCCGTTTAAAGTAGAACCTCTTCAGAGGAGAGGGCAGAATAGCTTAAAAGTAGTTGTGCTATATTCGGCGGAACACAACTGTATAAAACTATGAAGTTTTATTATGCATTATAACCTACATGTAAGTTTTAATGGACTGGGAAAACTCCTTTACCCTATTTATAAAGAGGCAAACTGTCCCAGTTTAAGTCGTTCTGTGATCTGTTCTATTTAATAGCTAAAAGCTATACTATTCATTTACTGCAAGCAGTTAAGCTGTAACTGTTCATTAAACGCAGGCATTTAAAGTCTATGTCTGTTCATTAGATGCAAGCATCTAAAGGCTGTGTGCTCAAAGAGCATTTCTCAAGAACTATAGGTGTAATAACCAAAGCTTCGCGTCGACCCTCGATTATACAATAGGGATATAAATACTCTAATAGTATGCTAAATAACAAGACATGTTTTTTTTATTAAATTATAAAATTAAACACAATATATGGCAGATAGCAATGTTATAATTATAAAACTTAGAAAGAGTCTGTCAACATACTGGTACTATTCATACATTTATCAAATACCCAGTCCCTCAATATATAAATACAGTGACCTAAATCTAAATATAGCTGTTATTAGTCTCGATCTACAGATTATAAATAAAACAATACTAACAAAATGAAACTAATCTTTAAGAGGCATTTAGTAACTGGGTAGGGCAATACACAAAAAACACATACTTATGGAAAAACAGCTACTTATTTATTTGGGCGATGTTTCGAAGAGTATTCTCTCAACGTTATCAAGCTAATACAGTAATACAAGGAAATGAGATCAATATATACAGAAAACTGTAACAACAATTCATGAAACCATACAGGACAACAACAAGATCAAAGGGGTTTATTCTACAAAAACTATAGCCATTGAGTATAGTTAAGCAATTAGGTAGCTATGATGATAGATACAATGCTACCGACAGAATGGGATAGTACCTACAATACAATTATGATATACAATGTACCATGGTTTGTTTAGATAATGGTAATTAACTTTATATGTCTGTGTGATTAAATGTACAATTAGACTAGAGTAACCCATATGTGTAATAATTCTAAGAAATAGAGTGGATATAACTGATAAATTGATAATAATATTAGAAAAATGAAAAATAATAAAACTCATAAAAATTCACAAAGGTTTCTTATCCACTGTACTGTAGAATGAGTGGGGGTGATGGAAAACACATAATTTAGGTATATTTAATAAGTTCATCATAAGCACTAGGCAGGAATGAAACTAGCTTTGCCACAATTAGTGAGGAATAAATAAGGATTCTCGTCTTATATTAAACGATTTTAAAATATATTTTGCACAATGTCAAGGGTAATTCATTATTTTAATCATTTTGGCATTGACATTTGTTTCTGAAATCAAGTTCCAGTTTTGGCATTGTTTCGTACATTTTTCTTCTTTCCTCGTATTATGGACAATGAAGAAGGAAATGATATTCATCTTCTATACTTCCGGAATGACACATTATATATAATTTATCCTTGATCTCTTGAGCAATGTTTCCAGTCTCAATTCTCAAGGGTAGGTTGTATGCCACATATGAACTGGGCTAAGTGTGATCTCTCAACTTTGCTAAGCGTAGTTGTGACATAAGTCTACTAAATGTATTTTTGAATTTAACATATGTTTGTAGTTTTGAGATAAATTTTATTTCATTTGACCAGTCACATGCGTAATTATTAATAAGTTTTTGTTCTATTTCTTGTATATTGCATTAAAGTTTGTTATGAACACATGTCTCAGTAAGTAGTCTTCTAATTGAGGTAGAATGTTCAGACTTGGTAGATGTTTATTAGGTAAATGTCAGACTGATTTCAGTGATTAGCATTTGATTTTGTTTTCTTAATTAAATGTTGCATAATAAATCTGAGTACATTTTAGTCTGGATTAAATTGTGGAAAATTTGATATTATCTAAAATGTGTAAATGAAGCACAGTGACAGTAATAAAATGATCGCCTATATTCACCTCCTCCTTACCACACCCACGCCTCTCCCCCTTCGTTCGAGAAAGTATTTTGTTGTATTTTTTCACTTTCCTGTTATTTAAACTAGTATACTTTTCATTTCAATATAGAGATAATCTTGGTCTGAAAGTTGTAGAGAGTTTCCATTATGATGATGGGGATGAGAAAAAGAAGGAAGATCAATTTGAAAGGGAGCCGTTTGTTGTTCACTTCAAATCTCCTAAAACAGGTATGTACCCGTTAACATTATTATATCTACATCTAGAGATAACAATTTTTTTTTAATGAACTTAATTTATATTATCATATGATTTATGAAAATTTTCAAAAATATATCGATACATAGACCTACTGAACTCAGACTGTATAAATGCTTTAGATTTTTTATTCATACTTTTAAGTTTGACACAAGAGCATTCTGTTTTCAAAATTTTGGGGCTGGCGCTGCCCATAACTAATATTCTGAATAATTTTCGAGGCAATATGCTTTTTGGTAAGACTCCTTTTTTTCGCCCACATTTTCATGTTGACGTATTATGCCGTTGCCCCTGTCTGTCCGTCCGTCTGTCCCCCCACAATTTGTTTGTGGACACTCTTCAGGTCAGAATTCTTATCCGATTTTGACAAAACTTGAAATATAGGTTTATCTCCAAAAGACCTGGCATGTATCAGATCAAAACTTCATGGATTATAGCCCCTGATTTTATAAAAAAAAAAATCACGTTTTTAGCTTGTGAACACTCCAGAGGTCACAATTTTTATCCGATTTAGATGAAACTTGAAATGTATGTTTATAACCCAAAGATCAGTTACTTACGATACTCGCGGATATCGGACTGGGGTCCCTGATTGTTCGCAAAATTGCGTTTTTAGCTTGTAGTCCCCCTAGAGGTCACAATTTTTATCTGATTTACAAAATAGTTCAAATATATCACCGTTACACCGCAATGAAGATTGAGTTCGAATTTCGTGAAAATTGGAACGAAACTGCCCGACAAAATGGCTGATCCTTGTATGCAAATAGTGTAAAAGTATGTAATTCCAATGTTGTGGACCCTCTAGTGGCTCTAGAGGTCACAATTTTTATCCGATTTTGGTGAAATTTAAAATATGTTTATATCCTGAAGATCTCGGTTCCTGTAGATATTGACGCATATCGGACTGTAACTTTCTGGATTATGGCCCATGATCATACGAAAATTTGCTTCTTTTTTTTTTGAACTTGTTGTGTCCATCTCTTGCAAAATATGGGCATATCTTGCATGGCAACCACTTGTAGTTATATGGTCTGTAAGGTTTTTTATGCATTTTAGTCTTGAATATTGGGACTTTAATAATTTATACTTGTGTTTTGTTTTTCCAGATGGGGTGGGGGGCGGATAGGGTGGCCGATTAGTCTAGCGTGTGGACGGTAGATCATAAGGTCTGTCATTGAGTCTGCTGGCATGGTTTCCATTCCCAGCTTATAGGTGACAAGTAGCGCTGCAACGATACGATGCACATCACGATTCATAGCCTACGATACGATTAATATCGCAATATAGGAAATACATTTAAAAAATGCTGTTATGATTTATTTTATGTGGTGTTTTCTCGGTCAACTGAATGGATTACATTGCTGTCATGCTTAACAGGAAATCCTAAAAACTCCCATACTTTACTTGTGATGGGGGATTTCGATCTCAATATTGAATTCATTATGAAAAAATTCAAGCTGGCTGGCACGTATTGCCATAACAATTTCAGCCAATGAAAAGCTTTCTCGTTGTCAGGTCAGTCATATATTATAGAACAGCAAAGGAAATAACGTTACGAAGATTTAATATCAAATATTAATATACATTGAAAATATGTGCTGATCAATGTATGCAGTATGTACAAATCGCCATTCTTATACAGTAATATTATATTAATATGTTGTATGGTTTTTTTCTGCATATTATTCAAGTATGTAATTTGAACGCAACTTAATTTCCAGCACGACTTGCTTAATCAGACTGATATTTTAATCTTGACGAAATAGCTAAAATAAGCCACTTCATATGTCGAAAACGCCTTAACACTCGCTGAAAGTAAAAATTTATTTTGATCATGGACTTACTTACGCATTTAAAGGAATATCAGTCTGTTTTTGTGAAATTGTTATTTGGATAACGAATCGAGATACGGGCATTGATTGTATCGTGCATTTCTAAAACATCGCGGTTCATCAATTCATCGATGAATCATTGCAGCCCTAGTGACAAGGAATATGGTTGCTGGTCCAACCCCATTGGATTTCTCCGTTTTTCTCCCAATTCTAAAGACCCTTATCGCGCAAACATTTGACCTACTTTGTGTTAAGTGAATGTTAAACCCCATTTCTCTCTCTCTCTTTTTTCTAGATGTGGAGGATTTTGTATTGATAGCTATACATGTTGATCCTGATGAAGCTGTGTCAGAAATCAATCATTTAGAAACTGTCTTGGACTATGTTTGGGGCAGGACTGGTGTTGATAATATTATCATTATGGGAGATCTAAATGCCGATTGTAGTTACGTGTCAAAGAGAGCCATGAAAACTATCAATCTACGTCATCGATCTGATTTATATTGGCCTATTGATGATGACGCTGATACAACTGCTGGTAAAACAAATTGTGCCTATGATAGGTAAGCTTTATTATAGTTTAGTCAGGGGGTGGGGGGCTTGCCCTTTAGATTATAAGTTCTGTCATAGAGTCTTGTACGTGACAAGTAGAAGGGTCGCCTATCTAACCTTGTGATTTTTCTTCAGGTCCTCTTGTTTCCATTCACTTCTAGAGACCCTTACAATCATGTGAGTAATGGAAAAAAAATTTAACCATATTATCTCCCTCCCTATCCCTTCTGATTTTATTTCACTTAAAAAACTATTTTATCAAACAGTTGACAGGATATTTAAGAACGAGAGTTATTGCTGGCTTTTGCCAGGTGCTTGCACAAATATTGGATTATTTGTATTCAAATAATTTTTCATTGCTGTTTGAATTTTTGTATATCAGTTGTGACCCAGGGATTCCTTTCCAAAATCTTCCCAGTCAGTCTTTCATCACTAGAAAGTGTTGCTCTTTTTAGCACATAATAAGAAACCACACTACAACATACTATTTTCGTTTGCGTGCAATATAAACAAGGATGATTAATTGGCATGGTTTCCATACGTGAACACTGCTAATTTGTTATTACCAACAATTTTTATATCAATACCTTCAGAGTGTCACTGTATCCAGAAATTTTATGATTCAGCTCAAGCTATTTTTCTGCCGTGCAACGTGGCTGATGGGTCAGATCTATTTTGGGTCAATTTACATTGCCATCAGTTATGACCGGCAAATTCAACCTACATGGAACTCATGATGTGATCACTGTACTGTTTTAACATAGTTATTCCTGTTTTTTGGACACATTTTTGCCTGTCTAAAAGCCAACCCTGGAATCATCTGTTGATTATATTCAATATTCAAGGGAATATAAAAGTATATTTATCGGTATATTTTATAGATTTGTAATTAGAGGAAGAAGTTTAATCAAAAGTATAATACCAGGAAGTGTACAGATATTTAATTATCAAAATGAATATCAGTTAGATGATAAATTGGTAAGTACAACCGGCTAGGATCTGTGGGTGATATTCATGCTGGTGGGACACTGGTGAAATGAAATGAGATTTAATGTCCTACTTTCCTGCACCGACTGGGCTAATGAAAATAGGCATAAACAATACAGTGTGCTATGTGGAAAATGCTACCTGTTACTGTTCTTTTACATCCACACCAATGTTTACACAGGATCTCTGGTGGGACACCAAGTTCCAACAGAGTTTGAATCCTAGAGAAGGCAAATAAAAAAAAACTTGACAGTGTAAATATTGTACTTAAGTAGTAAGTATTTGATTGTCTATAATACATATTTGAGTACCGATAAGAGCTTTTTACTAATACATACACAAAATACAAAAGTATTATAAAAACTTCTATAATTTTCATAGCATTTTATCCATGAATAATTCCAATGATGTCATTGATTTAGTACATCATCTACTTACCCATGGCAACAACACATCCCCATTTGTTTCTACATGTAAGCGTGTCAACGATGTTAAAATGTAATGATTAAAGAATATATCAACTATCTAACTTAAGTAGATTCGATCCATTGTTTTGCTAGAAATAATACAAAATATCATTCTTTCTTCTGATAAACCTACAAAAACCCACCCAATTAAATTCTGTCATGTATTCTGAGTTACACCATGTTTCAAAATATTTAGGGCTATGTACAATTTTATACCAGTTTTATTCATGGAGGGATGGGATTGGATGAAATAATTAGATCCAAGGTTGAAATTAGTTGTGCATGTATAAAATTCCTTCAGAGTTGATAGGCTATGAAAGGTTTAGAAGAGCACAAAATAAATATGTGCTCTTGCTTGGCTCAGATGAACAATTTGACAAAACTCTGATAATATTACCTATATTAACCTAGAAAAGATGTCTCCTGCTCATCTTAATGGTAGAAAGTTAAAGTAGCTACAAACCCTATTCTTTATTATGACATTGAATTAAATTTATATGTTTTTCAGACATTGAAAGTCAGTGATCATTATCCGATAGAAATGGCAATTGAAGGCATCACAGATGTTGGTGGAGTTGAGATATACCAAACTAGGAAAACTTTAGTTGTATTCTGTGTTACGTTAGCCATTGTTAAAATATCTATGTACATATGACAATACTTAAGGCCATCACATACTACTGGTTATTCATATTGAACATAATATTATTATAGTGATATCTCATAATAACTGTCATCACATATATTTAATAGATTCATAAATCACTGCACAAATTGTAACTTTCTATAAGAAAGCTTTTATTAGTCATGCTGGCCCTGAAAATACACAGTTGTACAAGACTAAATAATTTTACAACATGCCTAGACAACAAGATTTGTCTTGGTAATGTGCAAGTATTTAAACAGGCTATAGTATGTATGATTGGTTGTAGATGTATTGATCTCCAAGATATAAACATGGGCCATTATGTTCACATACATAGTAATACACAAGTAGATAAGCTTGGTATTGTTTGTTGGGCTATACACTGGAGAAAACCATGTTATACTGAATACCGGAAACTCAGGAAAAACACTAAATACCGGAAAACACACTAAATACCGGAAAACACACTAAATACCGGAAAACACCCTAAATAGGTAACCTGGAGAAGAGCTATATTATAAACCGGAAACTAACCCTAACCCTAACCCAGGCACACAGAGGACCAGTCTCTGGGTTACCTATTTAGGGTGCCAGTCTCCGGGTTACCTATTTAGGGTATTTTCTGGTATTTAGTGTGTTTTCCGGAATTTAGTGGGGGGGTTTTCTGGTGTTTTCCGGTATTCAGTATAACATGGTGTTTTCCGGTTGTTTTCCGGTATATAGTATTGTGATTGTTTGTTCATTTGCCATACAACTTCATTTTTTTCACTCAGGTCAGCATCTAGAATCTATACAATTATATAATATATTCTAATTAATATGTTATTTTTTTATTTTTTTTAGTGCAATTTAGAATTCTTAAGATTTCTATTTATAAAAAATGTGTTATTGAACGCACAATATGTGTTTATAATTAACTCAATTTGTACTTTGTTAAAATTGTAATAATACATTATTTTGTTATTAGTCTATAGTATTTTTTTTCTTACCAGAATGAATGTTTTTGTTTAATTAAATGTCATGTTTGTTTATGGGGTAGATGTTAATAGTAATGGTATTTAGAAAATGACTTTATAGGTATTTTGAAAATGACTTTATATATATTTTGAAAATGACATTATATGTATTTTGAAAATGACATTATATGTATTTTGAAAATGACTTTATATGAAATTTCGTTACACTTAGTGTGGATACTGGTATATTGTATGTAAATGTGTCCACTAAGAAAATTATTTCATGGAATGCAAATTACATATTACATGGTTAGATAGGTGACTTTACTCCTTTTGCTTTACAAATCTTGGATCAAATTCATAGATAAACTTCATTAACGAAGCATATATTTATAGAATTCAAGAATTTACTAAAACAAAATCACAGTACTCAACAGATGAATATATACAAACATTAACAGAACATGACTCTCCTTTACAAAATAGTAAAACTTGGTAAATACAAAGGCTCTAAATGTCCCACCCCAACCCAACTGCATTTTGTTTTTATACAAAATGGCTTTAAATATTAGGCATTGCTCATAATTGTCAGCTTAACAATATCTTAATATGTATTTACTCAGGGACTATCTCAATAATCTTAAATACTGTTATTTTATATGATACACATGTAAAGATTTTTATTTTATTTTATAGTACTTTTATGATTATTGTTATTTATCAATGGGTAATTCAGTTGTTTGAATTATATTTATTATGGTGCTTAAACTCAGACACTGTACTATAGAAACAGAGGCTCTGCTTTTATCATTAATAGAAAAATCACACAACAGAATACTCTTCATCCGTTTTGGATGGTAAATCCCCCTGCTGCGCAAAGTTACATTTTAAGTACTTTTAGAATACAAAGTAAACGGAAGTGAAGTGTGTGTGTGTATATATATATATATATATATATATATATCGGAATTGATACTTTGTCTAGATGTCAATGTATAGAACTCTTTTTTTAGCTCTTTTTATTTTCGTAAATGCTGTTTGACCATTTGTCACATTGCTTTTTAATGATTATATTTTATTTATATGTGACTTTATTAATAATTAATAATGATAATGCTACAATGTCCACTGTACTAAGACACATACAGAAACATTTGTTTAATTCATTAATTTACTCAAATTTGAGATATTCAGGTAAACTTTCAAACATAAAGATAACGCAGAACATTTGAAGATCAAACTAATTTATAATTTAGAAATAACCAGCCTTAGATTGTTTCTTTTCAAACTCAGGAATAGTTTAATAATAATTTAATATGTTAATTACTCATATTAATATTATATATTTTTTAATAGTTATTCATTGTTAATGTAATGTTTTTTAACCTTTACCTACCATGATATATAGAGTATATATATTAATAAAATAAGTACAAACATTTATTTTCATTGAAAATATTTTTTTAAGCAACCATTTGACCAAATAAACTACATCCTGATATTTAGGAAATGTCGATAAGGTCCGAATTTGCCCCATCGATGTGTCTCAGACCTCGAATTGCATGTGCCATTCAACCTCATTAATTGAATAACTCGGAATAAGTAGCACACGCGAACTATCGAATGATAAGAAGAAATATATTTTCCCCCCATCACGTCCCCCACACGGCCATGGTATCAGCAGCTTATTTTGGACAAATCGGAATAAGCAACATAAATACCAAATCTTGTTAAATCATACCCGTAAGTCTTAAAAGGGTTACCGGTATCGTGATGGAGAAAAAAAAAGATGTCTAAATATGCAACTAACAAGTTGCTCTGTTTATTCCCACCTCATTAATTTCATTTAAAACTATTTGACGACATGCTTAGAATTCTTTAAAAAGATTTGGAGAAGTAATAAATTAATGTCGACACCCATCCCATCGACGTACTCTAAACAAAACTACACGTGTTTCAATTGAACACCGCCCCAAAAATAATTTGCTTCTCGCTCGGCGTGCCGAAAATGTTGCACGCAAAGTATACTGGATACGAATTGAATTGGATCATTTCGGAAACAATAAACCTTAAAAAACTAAATTATATGTAATTTATATTTATCTGGTATATATTGTTAAATAGTATTCGTATTTAATCTTTCAAGAATATACTGAAATCAATCTCGGTCGCATCTATTGTTTTAAGAATTGCTGTTAGGTTTGAAACGTCTTCAGGAGAAAGACAGATCTCCGCCAACTGCATTGCAGAGATAATTTCTGCCACCGACATTTTGTTATCGTTATTTTTATCAGTGGTTAATAAACGTTCTTTGATTCGAATTCTTTTCTCTATACAATGCTCATTTATAGTGTTTAATACTGAACTTGGTTCGATCTCCTCGAGCGGGGTATTTAACAAGATCTTTAATTTACTTTTTGGTGGACCTTTTATGACATAATCTTCTAATGTAAGACCATGAAATATTTCAATATTTTTACGGGTTTCCAGAAACTCTGTCTTTGCAGCAATGAAAGATTTGTCGACTTCAATTCCAGACATGTCTAGGACTTCTAAAACACTACTGTCCGGTGCAACACCTTTGAGCAAGTCCATAGCTCCTCCTGGACGAAGGGGGTTGTGTGTAATTCTGAAAACCTTCAGAGTATCGTTTCCTTCTAAACTTTTGCTGATAAAGGAAGCCGCTTCAGCAGGAATTCTGTTGTGAGAGACATCAATATCCAATATAATATTGTTACTTTTAATTATGTCCGCAACTGCACGGCCACCCTCTTTACCCAGACCGTTAAAAGCAAGATTAACAGTTTTTAATCTAGCATTATTTTTAATGCTATCGCAAATTTCAATAGCACCCCTTTTTCTTAAACAGTTCCAGCTCAAGTCAAGTTCTTCGAGAGTTTCATTTTCAGCAATGGCAGGTCCTAACAAAAAAGCACCCTTTTCTCCAAAACGGTTATGACTGAGGTTCAGAAACTGCACACGGCGATTTTCTGTCAAGGCTTCCACAAAATACATAGCATCAGAATCGGTGAAGTTATTCCCAGAGAGGTTCAAATTTTGAAGCGTGGTGTTGACAGCGAGCATATCACATATCGGGGCTACGCCTTTAGAACCCAAGTTATTGTCAGCCAAATTGAGCTCGGTGATGTAAATATTATCTTTTAACATGTTGGCAATATATTTACCTCCTATACCTTCTATCCAGTTTCCTTCAATATCCAGCGACAGAACTTGTGTGTTAATCTGTAGAGCCAATGCCACAGCTTTGACCCCAAGGGGGCCCAGGCCGTGATACTTCATCACTAAGGTTGGTTCTTGCATATGCTGAAGGAAGTAACTTACGGGAACGATAGCTAGGTGCTTGCAGGCGGTTATATAAAGCTGACGACCAGTGACATCATATTCGTCTACTTCCTTCTCCATCTCCAAATCTGTATCATATTCATTTTCTTCGTTCAGGGTATCGAAGGGTTGGTCAGAAGAAATACTTTGCTGGGTTTCTGATGTAATAGAAACATCATCGGCCTTTTCCTCATCTTCTTCTATGGGAGTCATGGCAAGCTGAATTTCACTGGCCATGTTTGAGATATTTTGATGATGATGTTTTCAAATTAGTTCCAGAATACTGCCTTTACAGCTTCTAACGTCACACTATTGTGACGCAACTACTGAACAGTCAATTCTGATGCTATATGCATATCGAAAATGGGGATTCCATTAATAGGCCTAAATATACATGTAGGTTAGAATGCATTTAAACATACATTGTGCAAGAGCTAAATCTGCCTATTGCAGGTCTTTCCTTGGACCTGAAATTTTATAGAAACTATTAATTAGACATTTATTAACACGGAAAACCTTATTCAAATGACGATGCCATCTTATGTGTCGGATTTTCACTGGATTTGAATCCGATTTGCTGCCCAACGCTCATTGATAATTTAATCCCAAACTGGATAATCGAGACTATGTTTTTTTATCTTACCGATTTTAGTGATGATGATCGAAGCTAGGCCTAAAATTCAGACGCAAATATATCGGTTTAGAGCGGAGAAATTTGACTGATATTTTCAGAATATTCGCTTTACATTATCTAGTTTTTAACTATACTATTAAAAAAAAGTAGGGGATATTTGATTTTTAAGTGTTATTAAAGTCACCTAATGAAACTGACGAAGAAACAAATGACAAAATGAAATGAAGTTCACATTCATCGATTTATTCCAAATGATCGTTAGACTAAGTAAGGCACAGACTGACCATTATAAGGGTAAAATGATACCCGGGGTCAAACAGCAAAGTTACCACAGCATCACAACCAAGTCAGTAACGGGTAAATCCTCCTCTGTTTGCCAAACAAGCATTGATCCGACGTGGCATACTCCTAATGAGACGTCTAAGGTCATTTTGGTCCAGATTGTCCCATTCCTGTTGCAACGCAGCAGCAAGTTCTTGGACATTGGCAGGACGTTGTTGACGTTGACGTAACCTCTGTCCAAGCATGTCCCAGACATGCTCGATGGGGGAGAGGTCGGGACTCAGTGCTGGCCAAGGTAATGTGGTGATGTTCTGTTGTTAGAGGTAACCTGTAACGATCCTGGCCCTGTGACATCTTGCGTTGTCATCCTGGAAGATGAAACGGCGGCCATGACGTCGTGCGAACGGCACAACATGGACTGCCAAGATGTTGTCCCGGTAGTACTGGCCTGTAACACGCCCTGCAACAACATGTAAAGCCGTTCTTCCAGCAACAGTGATGCCTCCCCACACCATAACAGAACCACCCCCAAATCGATCATGTCTGATGACGTTAACGTCTTGGAAGCGCTCGTTTCGACGACGCCACACCCTCCTACGTCTGTCCAAAAAATCAACAGTGAACATTGACTCATCTGAAAACATCACATTGCTCCAGCGTCGATTATCCCAGTGTTGACGATCCCTACACCAACGACGTCTTGCCTGAATGTGATGATCTCTCAAACAAGGGATCACGCGAGGACGTCGGGCGCGAAGGTGACCCCTATGCAGTCGATTCCGAATCGTCTGGCCACTCACTCTCACACCAGTGTCTGTTTGAAGACGAGCGCTGATCTGATTTGCTGTGATGACACGATTTCTCAAGGCCAAGGTACGGATAAATCGATCCTGGGCTTGAGTTGTCGCCCTTGGTCGACCTGAGCGTGGTCTGTCCTGTACAGATTGTGTATCACGGTATCTGGACCACAACCTGCTTATGACAGACTGAGAAACATTCATCGTCCGCGCCACAACCGCCTGTGTTGTGTCGATCTGTAGCATGCCAAGGGCATATCAAAATTTGTTTTCTGGTCACTAAAACAATTAAACTGATGTTTCCACCCTGGAATTCAATGCCACAATGACTGTAACATTCAAAGTCAGAGTCGTGCAAATCTTGGGTTGGACCCCCATGATGATCCCAGGCATCACCTGCATTCCATGCGGTAGCTATTGGTGCGTTTGGGCGTCACATGTAACTGGAAATGTTTCTTCTGTTAGGTTCTATAGTGACTTTTTTCGTAGTCATTTGCATGTTTTAGTATTATGCCCCCAAAATCAAATATCCCCTACTTTTTTTGAATAGTATATTATAGTGAGAACTGCTAGCTCTTTATCTAATCCTCCATAATGTAACTTAAATGTTTAAATCCCTTTTTTATAAAACGATTTTCTTGCTTTTAGAGCACGTAATTAAAGGGGAAGTATGTAAGATTAAATAAAGGACTGGCAGTTCTTACTATAATAGTTAAAAATAGATAATGAAGAGGGAATATCTTGAAATTTGCAGTCAAATTACTTCACTCTGAGCCGAGTTATCGCCAAGAACAGTGTAGTCCTGATTGTCAGTGCTGCCATTGTTACGATAATAAACAAAGTCTCAATTATCCACTTTCAAATTAAATCATTAACCGCGAATCGTATTTAAATCTACTTTATCTAGAGTATCAGATGGCATAGAGTGTTGATTATTGTCTTGGTAAGTTCATTAATGTCTAATAAAGTCATAAATAAAGACCTGCAATCGGCAGATCTAGCTTTACTTGCGTAATGCCTTTTTAGCTTTAATCATTATTTCTTTTTTCTTTTTTCTAATTGTGTTAAAATTATTTAAGTGTGCAGACAATGTATATACTTGATAGGTCGTACAATAATGCGTAATATACAAATACTAATTACAGACTTAATTTATGAACAATATCCTATATTATACTTATGTTATATATAGATAAGAGACAATTTGTTGAAGTGAACATATGGGTCATATTCATATAAGGATCAAGTTGCGGCTTCCGTGTTTTCCATCACTTGTCGCCGTACATGACCCTATTTCTATTATATACTACAAAACCCGATGTAAGACAATGGCTGAGCTGCATTGTATACCCTATTTATTTGTTCTTATTCTGCTGATAAATGTGGAACAGATTCAGTGTCAGGAACCGTCTTCCTTAGATATCTTCAATGATACTGGTTAGTTCAATTTATTTTATTTTGTAGAATATTTGTTATAAACTCATGTATCTTACTTTTGCAATATTTACAATTTAAATGGCAATATTTATTGTGACTTACCAATAAAATATAAATATTTTTCTTTCTTTTTTCAATTTTAACACTCTGTTATCGTTCGCTTTTTTAATTCCACTGTCTGTAAAACCACATACATATTCTAAATATTTAAACACCTTTAAATAACTTTTCCTGAAAATGCCATTTATTTTGATTATTTTTCTATTCCATATTTCGGTTTAGACTGAAGAGCACAACTCACACTCTATTTATACACAGCCTTAGAACACTGGTATCTTAGTGTTGCATTTGAGTTGCGGTGGCTCTATGAGTAAGGCACTAGCTTGCTAACCGGGAGGTCCCGTTTTGCTCCCAGTGTTGGCCGAGAAAGGTCCGTCATTATCCCAGTTATTACGTTTTAATACAAAGTTAAATATAACATTGTTATTTTTTTTATTAACAGATTAAAATACATGTATGAATTCGTCATTTCAGCAGAATTTGTAGACTGTGGAGGTCATATTTATGCCGGTCATGGTTATTTTGAAAGTCCAGGTTTTCCGGATGTTTATCCTAACAATATTGATTGTGTATGGAGTATAACTACCAGAGAAAAGGACACAATTCGTATTTCTTCTGAATATTTCTTTCTCGAAGATCAACCAGAGTGTTCGTAAGAATATTTAAAGTCAGATTAACCCATTTGAGTAGCGTGCAGAGGTTTGGAAATGCCCGGACAAACTCCATGATTGTATGGTGTCGTGACTCAAGTATACGGCCGGTCAGGTCTAAATATTAAGGCCAACTGCAAATTTCGTTGAGGTCGCGTGATGTAATAAGTAGTGTTAGGGCACGTGATTGCTGGCGAGATTGTGGGATAAGGTTAGGGCTAGGTGTAGGGTCTAGGATTAGAGTTAGGGTTAGTGCTAGCCCTGTTTATATCCAATTGACCTTAATATTTAGACCTAACCGTATAGGGCCTTATACATGTATTGGGAAGCGTGATAAAAGGAAGTATATTTCAGCTATAACAGATGAAATAAATAGCTAAAGTTGGACAGCTTGTACAATAACATTAACGGCGATATTTTCTAGTTTTAAGAAAATTAATTTACATTTAAATGTGAAATTACTTCCCCAGGCGTATGAATTCACCATTAATAAACTGGTAAAATATATTACACACGGTTTTTCACTTACGAACAAAATACATGTCGTTACCCTCGTATCGAGATGTGTCTTACGCCCCCAAGGCATGAAGAAACGTCGCTGATGCCACTTTTTAAACTGTATTTTTTTCATTGGGTCTAACTTGTGGCTTTAACGTCCACCACTCAACGCACAGTTGGTCATTTCGAGACTCTTATAGTATTGCTCGCCGGGTTCTTTGGCATTCGGAGCAGAAGGAAGAGTAAATTCAAAATACACTACGACCATTAAAAGTTAACAATGTGATATAGGAGAGTAGGACGTTAAACCCCATTTAAATTCATTTCAGTTAAAAGGTGGGAGAAATACATAGATTTAGTTGGTTTATTTAAATAAATAAATTGAAACAAATGAGTTTTATGGTTTTAGTTGGTTTATTCAAATGAGTTTTATATTTTATTCTACAGATGGGATTATTTAGAGATAAGGGATAATATGAACAATGCTCCAATACCATGGAAATATTGTGGCGAACAGTTGATCAACTATACGTCAACATCCAACAGTTTAACAGTTAACTTTCATACTGATAGCTTCACTCAAAATGCCGGATTCAGACTGAAGTATGATGTCATACGAGGTAAGAATAAAATTGAAATGGAATGTCTTTTTCTTCAAAAATATAAATGTGAATTTTATTATGTGGTGTTTAATGTTTCGTCTCCACTAGAACGAACTTATATATTACTAGCGGATTACCCGGTACTGCATGGGTTAAAAGTAGTATAACTCCGAAACCAGAAGAGGTCGGCCAATGCCCCCTAGCATATGTTACTCGTCCGATCTACCCCTATACACCAAATTCCTCCTCGGGACAGCCCTCGTGTACCCACCAACCCTGAACAGACAGCCAAACAAACAAACGGCGGTCACAAATATTAGCATAGATGTAGCAGCATTTTGCCACACCAGTGACATAAGCGGGACATCTGTTTTTTAGTATTACATGAAGGAACATGAACACAGTGGTTATATTTAGCGGATGAGGATAGGATAGAGCAAGGATCCGAATATACGAATTTCTAGTCATGAGTAATCTAATACGTCACCCGCTCCCTTCACACCCATATCCACATTTATATCGCTTTTAGCTTCTGTGTCGCTCTCTAATTCGGGGGAGCTCACTAAACATGTATAATTTTTGAACCGATATGAAACACAAGTTGTAATTCGTTTTGATTAATTCTAGGTGCTAAGATGCCTGATTATTGTAACAAGACAATAGAGAAGAATTGTTATATTACCAGCCCTAATTATCCTCTACCCTATTTACCCGATACCTATTGTTATTATCATATACAGGTAAGCCGAATTCGAAACTATGTACCAAGTTTATTGTTCTATATTTAACAGAAGTTTACCTTGAAAGAGTTCCTCAAGAGAACTTCTTGGCAAATGAATTTAAAGGGCAACTGACGGGATGGAATAATTTTCATATTTTTCCTTCTACATGTATATCCACTAAAACATTTTTTTCATCATTTGGACTCTGTCCGAAAAATTTGATGATCGCCCGAAAAAATTGCTTTGACCGACTCCATTTTAGATCATGTCATTAGTTTGTTGGCCAATTTATATACATGTATATCTAGTGGCCGGTTTATTTTTTTTTATCAGGCCAGCCCAGGTTACCGTGTTCAGATAAAGTTCGTGGATTTTCATGTTGAAATAGAACCATGTGTATTTGATGTTGTTACTGTTTATGACAGATTACCCACCGGTAAGATAAATATTATAAAACAAATGAAATGAAATGAAATGGGGTTTAACGCCCTACTATTCTGCGCCGAACTGGGCTAATGAAGACGGTATTATACAATAATAAAGCTAAATACTTTTTAACTAAATTTGGTAGAATACAATTTACCATGACAACATCAGCCATTCATAACTAAATGAAAAAGTATATCGTTTTGATTTAGATGTCCGACGTGGATGGGAACCTCAGAGTAAAATCTCCTCCAGCTGAATGACTGGTGTATTTATTACATACAATAATTAGCAGTTGATGTTATTGTGTATTGGAGTAGTTTCAAAACACGTCTTTATTCCAAAATTGAATAAATCGAACACCCGGGCTAAAGTTACCTAAGTCCCGACTACAACTTACTTTACCTTGATCTTACAGGTACGGTAATGGTCGAAAATAAAATTTTCGATTTCACTGGATAATAAGTTTTGATTTTTTTTTTTGTGTGTTTGTGTGTGTGGAATGGCATTCGGTCTTCCTGGAAAATTTTACGTCTATAGACTGAGTACTATTTGTTTTATATCTTCAGGTAGAAAACAATTGGCCTCTTTGTGCGGTAAAAATGCCAAAGGCCCCTTCCAATCTACTTTTGAATCACTGTTAATGGTACTTGAAAGTGACAACACATTGCAAACAAAGGGTTTCAATGCTTCCATTGAATTCATTCCGTTACCGAACTTTTCAAAATCTTGGACAACACAGTCCGAAACGACATCTTTACCCGTCATATCAACGGAATCCACAACGCTATCAAAAACGTTAAAGAAAACATCAACAACAGCTCAAACCTCCACAAGTACGCCGAAGCCAACAACCAGAGCTCCAACTACCACAACTGCTACTACTACCACGATGACAACCACAACAGAAGCCCCCGTTACCTCACCGTATGACATAGGTATAATACAAAAATATAACACTAATTCTTGGTTATGTGACATTCCAAAATTTACAATGAAAAGAAATTAAATGGAATTGGGTTTAAAGTCTTACAATTCCGCACCAACGGTAATAAAATAAGACGGTTATTTAGCCATGTAGTGTGCTATGAGGGAAGTTTTGTCCGGACAACGGCGCTACCCCCTACTCATGTTTGGAGTTCTTTGTATCGGGGATCTTTGTCTATGTTATACACGTGAGCTCGGTGTTTCGTACCATCTAAACCATCAGACGCCTTTCCTTGCTAGACCATGGTCCCTCGCCACTAAAAAATGTGAAACCAGACTGAAAAATCACGAGGTACTTTCCCGACTAACACCAGGATCGAACCCCTGGCCTTTTAGTTTATGAATCAGTGCCATTGTCACCGAACCAACCCAAATATAAAGAAGTGATACAAGGTGTTTTCGAAGGATTAAGCACATCAACTCGATTACTGTAACCACTCACAGACCTGACTTCTTGGACTATCGGGACTACTTAGGTAGAATATTATAACATTATGTATTTTTGTCAATAATTCTCCTTCGTTTATTTTAATTTTAGATTGTTCCTATGTGTATATAAACAAGACTGGTTCTATATCAAGCCCAGGTTACCCAGACAAATACTCTCATAACAAACTATGTAATATTACACTGGACGCCCGGGAGTTAAGTTTTATCGTTGTCCAGTTCACAGAATTTGATATAGAAGCTTCTGAACATTGCTCTTACGATCGCCTCTTATTTTCACCAGGTAGGTATGGCAGCTACTTGTACTGTAGTCTTTTAAATTCTTTTTTTTCACAATTCATGTTCCGAATCGGACCTCTAAGATCAGTCATTCCTTTATTTTAAAAATCCAAATTCACGATTCATGTTCCGAATCTCACGATTCATTTATCTTCAAAACCCCAAAATATAAAAATTTGATTACTCTTAGCAAACAAACAGATTTAGGAAGGTTGCACAATGTGTTGCGTTTATTCAAATGTTTAATGAAAGTTCAACGTCTTTGTTGATAAGTACGTTTTGCTCCTGTGTCCAATTTTCGAAAGGTTTTGGTCTCGCCTAGTTGTTATTAATAAAAAAAATATATGTACAAATTTCATGATATTTATAAAGCATTCATTTTGTGTTTCAGAAGGTGTTGAAAATTTAACTAATTCTGTTGAACTGAATAGTGTTTCACTGTGTGGCAATGACTTAGAAAATAAAATATTAACTTTTGAGAGTAGGTCATTGAGTATCATCTTTAAATCCGACACTTCTGTCAATGACAAAGGTTATTTGGCCAATTATTTCATTACCCCGGTGTCTGCTGGTGAGTACATGATTATAATTCTGTAGACTTTGAGAATCTATCACGGTGGGCCGTTTGGGAATTTGGTTGTCATAAAATCGTAATGAAGAAGTTTGCCAAGTTTCATCTCGATCGTACTGGGATTGGTAGCCCCCAAAACCAAGATGAGTGACGTTTGAGGACCTGTTCCTAATCCAAAACGTAACTAAGCTTATGTCAACATTATAAATCAAACAGAGATTTCAATATTCTGTATATTTTATTTGAATTCATTTCGTAAGCAAATACCAATTGAGATATACGTAACTGTCAATTCCCACTCTTCTGTGGCTATTTTTTGAATAGTTACAGATCATTCAAACCATATTTTGCTATAAAACAGATAAAAATCACATGTCGATTGATTTGTTCTGTGAGTTCTTATTACTGGATAACGTAAAGAACATTATCATTGCATGCTACACGCATAATATACCAAAATGGAGTTTTCGAGTTGGGGTTAAAGGGGTGACTCCTAAACATAAACTAATTTACATGTAAACTGCATGTATTGTATTATTTTAATTAGAATCTGGTTGCACATTAGATTGTAAAAATGGCGCTACATGCATGAAGAAATATACGGAAGATAACATTCCCGTTTGGAAGTAAGTATATCTTTAGCAACGAATAACCTAATGATATCGTAGCATACTGCCCATCGTGACTGGTTCCATTCAATTAGAAAAAAATAAAGCACGATTTTGATCTTTACTGCAATAATAAAAATACATTTCGGTAAAATCGAGCAACCGTTTATGATAATTATACGACACATGGTAAAATTCACATAATGGAAACTAGTAGGACTGGTCTTATCTAACACTGAAATGAGCCCCTTTGTAAAACCGTTAAGGGGTCCGCGTTCGTCGAGCAGCAGAGTACTGGCCTCTCGACTAAAAAAAACGGGGTCCGAATCCCGAGCAACCGTATATGAGAATTATAACACAGATGGTAAAATTCACATAATGGAAACTAGTAGGACTGGTCTTATCTAACACTGAAATGAGCCCCTTTGTAAACCGTTAGGGGGTCCGCGTTCGTCGAGCAGCAGGGTACTGGCCTCTCGACTAAAAAAACGGGGTCCAAATCCCGATGTTGGCCGATAAAAACCATCGGGATTTTTTAATTTTCTCAGGGTTGGCGCTTGATGTGCAAGGGCAGTATTGTTCAATAAATACTAACATTTATCGCTACCACCATTAAGAAAGATTAACTACTTATTTTGTTTTTGCATTATCAGATATGTATTAACGATCTGGCTTACTGTAACTGTGAGTATTTTTAATAAACGTTTAGAGTTTACTGACATATCTTTTAGTCACTTGCATATGTATAGTAAAAACGTTTCATGTGTTAACAATCCGTATATCTTACAGCTGTATCTGTCCACCAGACCACCATGGAGAATTATGTGACGAGAAACATGTCACGTGTTTAACCCACCATTGTCACCATGACGGAAAATGTATAAAAGATGGCGATGACGTCAGATGCCAGTGTGAGCCAGGATTTTCTGGAGAATTTTGTGAGTTGAAGGTGAGTTAACAGGCTTTATTATTCTTTATTGGCAGGCGGAGTCTAAATAAAAGTGCCACTTGATAGATTTTGAATCAGAACAGAATTGTTTGTTATCGGAAGGACTTCTTTGGTTCGGAATGTTTTCGGAAATTTTATTGCCTGGTTCTCCATTGTCATTCGTGGTTCCGACCAGGAAAGTGTGCCTAGTCGTTCGGATGGGACCAAAAACTGAGACCCGCCCTTCTACACTGGTGTGTGCGTAAAAGAAGCCTCACTGTCGGAATTCCATGTAGAACAGGTGCAAACGCTGCGGTCCATCCCTCGCATTGCACACTTAATCATTGATAGGAAAATACCATATTTTAGTTCTCAATTTTTTTTTTTTTTTTTTTGAAACGACTGCATAGTGACTTTGCTGGTGCCGATTGCTTCAGGGAGTAGGTTTGACGTCTGTAATCCAAATTAAAACTACGATTTTAATTACTTATGGAACACCTCCTTATTCTATAAACATATGTTACCATTTCTCTTTTTTTTTTGGCAATGTCGTAAAAAATATAAATTTCTGTTGCACCTTTTATGCGAAAGCATATTAGCTTTTTATATGCAATTTGTTGTATTAATCGAATGTTTATAATATACTAGAATGGATTTCATAATAACAAATTTAATCTTGTAATTGCTGATCCAGGTTCCCAATGGTCTATGGTTTGTAAAGAAACCCCAGAATACAAGTGTTGCTAGAGGTAGTAGTGTTCTGTTAGAGTGTTCTGTGAATGATAATACTGCTGATATCACGTGGTATGTAACGTTCATTTGCATATTTTACCGTTATATAACAATACCATTAAATAACAAAACATATCAGGCTGTTGATGTCCTTTTATGTTTTTTATAACAGTATTAGGGTGTTTAAAAGAACAACTGACCGTAAAGACCACTCAGTGTTCGCATAATGGTATTTACGCAGCTTATGAATCTGGGAAATTTGCGATTACTTTTAAGAGCCATTCCACGAGAAAACCATGCAGAAGGTTCGAAGGTGGGGGTCGGCCGATTGAGTTCATATTTACAGGGTTCGGTCGACCCATCGGGCCTACTCCCCAGCCAAAATCGTCGGTTTTAGAAATCAACCGTTTCTGAGATACAGCCCGATTATGTTTTTCGGCTAATTTTCGTCATTTTCCGGTTAAATTTCGACCATTTTTGTAGCATTGCTATAGCCGTTAATCGACCAATGGCGAACTAAGTTTTGGTTGGTGATTATAGTCCGGGTCTCACCCTACCATATTATAATGGTCACCCAGTGCAACCTCTCTTTCCGTAGGTGTCATGACACTACACAAAATACGTGTCTGCAGACACCTGAATTATACCCTTTCTTCAAATTGCGATAACTCCACTGGAGCAGGGTTTGCGATAAAAATGGAAATCGTTTTATTTGCAGCTTGACCTGTTCTAACAATATAAAAAATAAAATCGTTGTCAACTAACCTTAAACAGTATGAAAATTTGTGTCGAAAGTTGCGAATTTCGTCACTTTTCGCGTCGAATTTCCACTTTTTAAGTGTTGGGATTTCGTCCGTACATTCCGGACATGTCCTACGCTATTTCATCAATCTAGTCTTGAACAGAAGTCATTGCTTCTCTTTTGTAGGACTATTTATCAATCCAATAAGAGTGAGTATCAACCTTATCTACGTGATTACCTCGGTGGTTTCTCCATTGCCGGACAATTTAATCTCATTGATATCAACCGACAGCACGTAGAAACTAGTCCTTGATGTCACATATTATCCTGATAGTATATAACATCCTATTAAACCTTTAACTTATTTTCCGTAATGAAACTACTTCTTTTAAGACACCATATATAAATTCCCATTTACAGTGACACTTTCCCGCGATCTCGATTATCGCACGAAAATCGCTTACCATATAAGGCAGTGGTTACTACGAAACTACTGTATGTGTTATATGTTAACGGTGTCGTACGCCATATGCTGAAGTTCTGTATGCCTTTTAGAAGCTATTTAACTATCAATGTAATTTCAAAATACCATTTTCCGAAAATGATTTGACATCACCACAAGTAATTCTCATTTCGGACGTCTTTCTTTCATTTGCTGCCGTATAAACAAAGACTTGTAATTTTGGAGGAATATTACTGCCATGGATTTGATTGAAGCAGGCACGGATCGGCAAATTTCATTCTATCGTATTACGAAAGCACGTAATTTTATAGGAATATTACTGACATAAATTTGAATACCATACGGGAATTAAATATGAATAAGCGGTTACCATGCAAGATACGCCCACATTTTGCAAGAGATGGACAGAGAACAATCAAAATAAAAAGCGATTTTTCGTACAATCAGGGGCCATCATCCAGTATGTTACAGACCGACATGCGACAATATCAAAAGGAACCAAGGTCTTTGGGATATAAAAGTATATATAAAAGTTTGATCAAGTTGAATAAAAATTGTGACATTAAGAGGGACTACAGGCTAAAAAAACGTGATTTTTCATATATTCAGGGGTCATAACTTAGGAAGTTACGGTGTGATATGAGCGAATATAGACCGGAACCGAGATCTTTGCAATGTAAACATACATTTTAAGTTTTATCAAAATCGGATAACAAATTGTGTTCTCTAGAGTGTCCACAATCTTGGAATTACACTATTTGCGTATTTCGGTCCGATTTTCAAGAAATTCGAACATAGTCGTCATTCAGGCGTAACGGTGATATATTGAAACGGTTTTTATAATCGGATAAAAATTATGACATCTAGAAGAACTTCAAGCTAAAAACACGATTTTTCGTAAAAAATCAGGGGTCATATTCCACGAAGTTACGGTGAGATATGCGCCAATATCGACAGGGACCGAGATCTTTGGGATCTAAACATATATTTCAAATCATACAAAAATTGTGACCTCGAGCGTGTCCCCAACCCTGGAATTACATACTTTTACACTATTTGCGTACGAGGAGCGGTCATTTTGTCCTGCAGTTTCGTCCGGTTTTCACGAAATTAGAGCGTCCCCATCATTAGCGGGGAACGGTGATATATTAAAACGTTTTTTGAAATCGAATAAAAATTGTGACCTCTAGAGGGGGCTACAAGCTAAAAACGCGACTTTTTGTACAATCATGGGCCATAATCCAGGACGTTAACATCCGATATGCGGGAATATAAGAAAGGAACTGAGATCTTTGGGTTATAAACATAGTTACCTTTTAAGTTTCATCAAAATCGGATAAAAATTGTGACCTACAGTGCCCACAGGCTAAAAACATGATTTTTCGTCAACTTAGGGGCCATAGTCCACGAAGTTACGATCCGATGCATGCCAATATCGAAAGTAAGCGAGATCTTAGGGACATAAACCTATATTTCAAGTTTTGTTGAAAGTGGATAAAAATTGTGAGCTGTAGAGTGTCCATAAACAAATTGTGGACGGACGGGCGGACAGGGGCGACGACAACATACGTCCACACGAAAATGTGGACGGATGGACGGACAGGGACGACGAAAATATACGCCCACACTAAAATGTAGGCGTACACAAATAGCGAGGTGTTCCTATTTTTATTACGTGCGGATTTGAATATTTTGTCAACATTTTATAAAGAAGAAAACGATGTTCTGACATCACAAACTATTCTTATTTCGGAAGTTCTTCATTCATTTGCTGTCGTATAAACGAAGACACGTTATTTTGAAGGAATATTACTGCTGTGAATTTGAAGCCGAAGCAGGATCGACAAGCTTTCATTCAATCAATGTATTACGAAAACACGTAATATAAATAACATAAATTTGAATACCATACGGGAATTAAATAGAATGAATGGAATGAAATGGGCTAATGAAGACGGGAGAATTAAATATAAATAATATCGAGGCGCACCTATTATTGTTATTACGTACGGGATTTGAATATTTTGTTGACACGTGATTTGTAATTGTGGTATGAATCCGTCTGCTTAAATAACGTTAAGAGTTATGCCCCTATACTTTCGGTAAAATGTCCGACAAGAACATTTTTGAAATTCCAACTCTAAACTCATTTGTTTTTCGATATTTTCGAATGAGATATGGTTTGTTGATAGAGCAACGTGTGAACTTCAAATTGTATCCCTGATGACCTCGCGATTGAAGGTCACGGCCAAGGTCAAATAGGCGATTTTCATGGAAATTGGGTCTGTTTTGCATAATTGTCGACTTTCATCATTTGAATTGAAATTTCTCATTTTTCATAGAAAAATAAATGTTTCAATAATCACGATCGACATTTTAGATCGAGAATTTGCGAAAATCTATATTCACTGGGAGACGCCATCTTGGATTTATAGACTGGATACCAAACCGCATCGAGACTGAATATTTTGGCAAAGCGGGTTGAAGGGGAGCTGGAGTTGATATATTGACCCTTTGAATAACAATATAGGCGATTGGTTACCTGAATAATCAGCCGATGTATCCCAATAAAAACTGAAATTTTGGGTAACTTTCGACACGAATTTGCATACTGTTGCAAGTTAGCTGACAAAGATTTTATTTCTTATGTTGTTAGAACTGGCCAAGCTGCAAATAAATTGATTTTAATTTTTATCGCAAACCCTGCTCCAGTGGAGTTATCGAGATCTGAAGATAGGGTACATTTCAGGTATCTCGAGACACGTGTCTTGTGTTGTCTCCTGACACCTATTGAAAATGAACTTGAACCGGGTTACCATGATAATGTGATCGGGTAAGACCCCGACTATCACGAACAACCAAAACCTAGTTCGCCAGGGTCTTGTAACAGCCGTAGTAGTGCGACAAAAATAGCTAAAATTTCGCCTAAAAATGGCAAAAATCAGCCGAAAAACGTAATCGGCCAGTATCTCGGAAACGGTTGATTTCTGAAATCGGCGATTTTGGCTGGGGAGTAGGCTCGATGGGTCTACCAAACCCTATGAATATGAACTAAAACGGCCGACCCCCACCTTTGAACATCTGCATGATATTGCATGGTTTTCTCGTGGAATGACTCTTAATAATCACAGCCACATTCTCTTGGGTGGGTTTGGTTAAATCAGCATTTTCCGAATCAGGTTACTTTAAACCAAACGCATATTTCCATTTGAAATTTGAACGCTTGACCGTGCGCGATATAAGTGGCAATCCCATTGTATACTTAAATTTAAATAGATAGCAGATTGTAGATCTATTTGGGAAGGTAGTGATCCGCATATAGGGCAATAAGGCATAGTTTCTTTGCATAGGGCATAGTTTTGCAACTTGCATGAATTAAATCACAAAGTTAACTCCCTGTTTACATCTAGAAAAAGAAATTTGTTAAATTCGAAAATATTGGCCATAATTTTATAGGTATCGCGGACAACCTATAATGTTGATGGCAGTATACAGGAAGTTTCTTCATCAGCGCTTTTATTATAGGCTTCATCGAGATCGTATACTGAGTAGATTGGATAATAATAATGGTATCAATATTTACCCTGGTGGCGTTCTTCTCATACCGGATATTAAGGAAACACACGAGGGTCAATACACATGCGCTGTTATATCTTCTGGAGCTTGGATAGAGACATCTGCTTGGCTGTCTCTAGTTGGTCCCTGTCACTTAGGTATGTTTCATAGATGCTTTGTTAAAATATTAAGCTTTAATATACGACAAAATAATGCAAACATTCCTGTTTGCGATGTATTTAACCAAGAAATATAAACTGAATTCCATATTCTTGAATTATTATATTCGAATTCCCAAATTCATAAAATCACATAATTATTTCGTTTATTGTTATTACACGGTGACGTTTCTGTTGTTATTTCAGAGGTGTCTAAGCTACCAGAGAACATAACACGTGAAGTTGGCGATGAGGCATTATTTGAGTGTATTGTTCCTGGTGCCACTTCTATCGTATGGCATAAAGATGGCGATATAGTATTTCCAACTAACAGAAAATCGGTAATAGCTGTCATATGTCTCTTTCATGTCTCCTTTCCATACAATTAAAACCATTTAATAGTTCTGGGACGTTTTGAGGTGCCCCGGTTAAAAATAATTTTATTTCCCCTCTTTTAGAACACACATAGAACTGCCTTTCTTTTTTCTTTACATATGTTGCTTTTCTATAGTTTGGATGTTCCCTTTCACCGACCACAATAATTGTCTACTTTTTTTAAATATACAGATACTGGTGAATGATTATCTAATGATAAGAAATCTAGTCGAACCAGATGCTGGTGTTTATACGTGTGCAGCTTCTGGTGAAAATGGCTGTTTTGCCAAGAAATCCGCCACCCTTACAATAAAAGAGACAGGTCACAATGAATGTAGGTATATCTTCCAGTCTAATTAAAACTAGACCACACTTTCGTTTCTACTTTCACTTTGTTGGCGTGTACCTAGAAACCTACAAAAAACATGACAAATTACAACTTTTAGGGTTCCTATTACCCGCACTTCAGTAGGCTATGTACACGAATGCACATAGGTACTTTTTCGTACCGCCCGACCGACAAGGCACAGTTTCTTTGCCAGACCTGTGTGTGCTACAGGTAAGACTCAGAATTAGGAAATTACAAGGTTGTTTAGTGTTTTATTGACAAATATCAAAATGACCAAAAACTGAGAGTAGCCCACTCCAAACGCAAATTAAAGTCATTACATACTTTTTTTTTAAAAAAAGCAAAAATAGTGTTTTATTAGATTTCGGGCACTTCCCCAACAAGATGATATATTATTTTTTTTCACATTACCCGTCTGCCTAAAAAGTCAGGTTACCCGACAGTTAAAGCTTGTACGCCTATTGGGTACTGATAGCGCAGTTAAGAATTATAATGAGCATATTTGGTAGCTGCTTTGACACATCACTTTCATTGGAATTTCAGTTTGTGGAAGACCTGTCGTTAGTGCATCAATAGAAGACAAATTCCGAATAGCTAGCGGTAGAGAGGCGAAGGATGGTTCAGCACCATGGCATGTTACTATCATAGAAAATACACACGTAAGAAATCGCTAATTTCTCCACCACATGGATTACAAATAAATATCATTTTCGCAAAATATTCACTAACTATTCAACATTATAAAGTCCTTTATAATTTTATTGTGTCAGCAAGACAAAAAAAATACTTTTTGGAATTTTGGTGTCTCTTTAGGCCAAAATCTAATGTTTTCGGTGATTGCAGTAATTGAGAGATAATTTAGTACGGGGGATAACAAGTAAATATAAACGTAGAATACGAGCAAAATTGTGATTTGTTATCCATGAAAAGTCTTTGCTTTCAATTATTGTCCAGGAAGCTTAAGTTAAGATATATTAAGAATTAAGCTTTTTCATTTACTTAGAGTTCTAAAAGTTCCTAGTACAAATTTTAGCGCTTAGCCAATGAAATGACCGATTTCTTAAATATTACTCTCTACTTTTGCAAACAGGATAGGGCTATAGTGAACTGGATTGTTTAGATTACAATGTTTATATTCATCCTTAACAATTTTGTTTTACTGTTGCATTTCAGGGAACTGCATATTGTGGAGGTTCTCTGATCAATGAAAACTGGGTATTAACAGCAGCACATTGTGTGAGTCAATTTGAAGAATTCTTTAGGTACAAATTTGAAACGAAAGTGATAGAGATGTTTTTTGGCACTATACACTGTAACGGTCAGGGTGGTGTATCAAGAAAGTTAAAAGACTATATCCTTTACCCATCTTATCATGGTACAGATTTTAATGACGACATAGCATTATTCCAATTGGACGAACCGGTCACCTTTGGAGACATGATCATGCCAATTTGCTTGGAAAAGGAAACATTTACCAATGAACTTCTGAAAAGTGGGAAAGCCGGCATAATTACTGGATGCGGGAGCAGATATGAGCGAGGACGACCTCCAAAATTCTTGCACGAAGTAACAATCCCGTATGTTCCGAGGGAAGTCTGTGCGGAAAAAGCCAGGGCTGTTAATGCGTCCTTCACTAGTGGGATGATCTGTGCTGGTTACGCGAGAAGTATGCGGGGTGATGCCTGCTCGGGAGACAGTGGTGGACCGTACACTATGCAATTTAAAGGGCGTTGGGTGTTAGTGGGTATTGTCTCGTGGGGTGTGGGATGTGATCGAGCCAATCAGTATGGTTATTACACACATATTTCCAGGTATTTTGATTGGATAATGTCCATCAGTAGTGATAAACAACGAATTTAACCTTGCTTCCAAAGCACATGTCGATCATTTCAAATCTACTTTTATTTTTAGTTAGTTATTAGAATTGATCTGAATTTGTTATAATAGCTATGAACTGTAATAAATATATTTTGATTAGTACATTTTGTAATTATATGCGTTCTTAAGGTGAAAATTATTATTTTCTGAAATAAACAATGGTACATTGTATGTAAGTACTTCAATTTGAATTTATTAGATTCCTGTCTGCTTTCACACCATCCTATTAGATCCTTTAGGAACGTTCTCTGATCGCATAATGTCTCTGACCATTCCTAGATATCCCTATATATAGCTGCAATATGAAAATAATTCAACACTATTTTCAAGTAGAATTTTGTGATTAAAACAACATGCAGTCTGTACCTGTAAATGATCCGTCAGTAACGAAGGAGAGCACCAGCTCTCTTAGAATCAGGCCCGTAACTAAAGGGGGGGGGGCACAGGCAAAAAGGTTTGCCCCCCCCCCCCCCTGTGAACAATTGAAAAATTGTCGACCATAAAAACAATAGATATACATTGTCCGTCAATTTTACAGCACCCCTGAGAACACCTCCCCCCCCCCCCCCCGTTGCTCTGAGCTAGTTACGGAATATATGACTGACATATTCGACTGATATTGGACTGGAACTCAATAAGCAATTTGATTGGTTGATGCTTTGGGCCACAATAACTTTAGTTCTGATTAAGTGAGAGTGATCAAACTTAGTGTATAGTTTCATTAGACATATTCTCTCACCCGTATTCCAGCACCCGGATTCGAGATCAAGTTAGCCCACATATTCCTAGCGCCAAGATAAACCTAGATATAATTATCACGAAAATAATTGTTACATTTATATTAGAAAATAAAATTTTAAAACATATTAATGCAAATTATATATGTACTAGATCCCCCGACCCCACCCAACACCCCAAAATATACTATTAAAAGGCACCCAAAAGGCACCCAAACCAGATTGGGTGGGAAAATGCTTTTGTTTCACGGAATCAAGAGATGAATAAACTACTAGAATACAAAATTTCAGAAGTCTCCTACGATGGCGTTTCGAGATATATCACCGTAAACATACTAAAACTATGGGGGAATCGGGTAAGGGTAGGCTCATCGCGCACGCAATAACTTCTAAACTAGCTTTCGTGGATCCAAGATCTTTATTTCACCAAATCGACAGATGCGCAAGTTATGAACATGCCAAACTTCATTAACTTTCTATGTTGGCGTATCGTGTTATACCACCGCAAAGTTCCTAGCACCCAGATTCGAGGCGGAGATTGTGGGTTCAATAAACAACGGGTACGCCCACACTGCATCAAAAACGACCCAAACCAGCTTTGGTGGGAATATGTTTTTTTGTTTCACGGAATCAAGAGGTGAAAAAACTACTAGAATACAAAATATCAGAAGGCTCCTATGTTGGCGTTTCGAGATATATTACCGTAAACATACTAAACATATTGGAGAATCGGGTTAGGGTAGGCTTACTACGCACGTAATAACTTCTAAACTAGCTTTGGTGGCTTCAATATCTTTATTTCACCAACTGGACAGGTGCATAAGGCATGCACATACCAAATTTCATTAACTTTATATGTTGGCGGGCGTATCCAGTTATACCACCGCAAAGTTCCTAGCACCCGGATTCGAGACGGAGTTTGTGGGTTCAATAAACAACGGGTACGCCCACACTGCATCAAAAACGACCCAAACCAGCATGGGTGGGAAAACGAATTCCAACTGCCAATTGATCTTTTACGTGCACGCCAATGTGTACACGGGACCTCGGTTTTCCCAACGACTAGACAGCTGTCCTTGTCAGGCCCTCCATCCTGCATCACTGACAAGGGGAAACCACGCCGGAAAATCTGCATGAACTTTCTCGCCAATGCAGGGATCGAACACCCGATCTCCAGGCTAGCGAGCCAGCGTCTTACCCACTCAGCCACGTGATCCCCAAAACATATTGGAGAATGCACATGCCAAATTTCATTTACTTTCTATGTTGGCGTATCGAGTTATACCACAGCAAAGTTCCAAGCACCCGGATTGGAGGCGGAGTTTGTGGGTTCAATAAACACCCGTACGCCCACACTGCATCAAAATCGAACCAAACCAGCTTTGGTGGGAAATTGTTTTTTTATTTCACGAAATCAAGAGGTGAATAAACTACTAGAATACAAAATTTCAGAAGGCTCCTATGTTGATGTTTCGAGATATATTACCGTAAACATATTAAACATATTGGAGAATCGGGTTAGGGTAGGCTCACTACGCACGTAATAACGTCTAAACTAGCTTTGGTGGCTTCAATATCTATATTTCACCAATTTTTACTGGACAGGTGCATAAGACATGCACATGCCAAATTTCATTAACTTTCTATGTTGGCGTATCGAGTTATACCACCAGCTAGGACGCACCCCTTCTTCATTGAACCCACGAACCCCGACTCGAATCCGGGTACTAGGAACTTTTCGGTGCTATAACTCAATAGAAAGTTAATGAAATTTGGCATGTTCATACCTTGTGCATCTGTCGATTTGGTGAAATAAAGATTTAGAAGCCACCAAAGCTAGTTGAGAAGTTATTGCGTGCGTGAGGGAGCCTACCCTTAACCAATTCCCCGATAGTTTTAGTATGTTTACGGTGATATATCTCGAAAAGCCAGAAAAGGAAGTTTCCGAAATTTTGTATTCTAATAGTTTATTCATTCCTTGATTCCGTGAAACAAAAAACATTTTGCCACCAAGATTGGTTTGGGTGCTTTTTGATGCAGCTTGGGCTTACCCCTTGTTTATTGAACCCACGAACGCCGCCTCGAATCCGGGTGCTAGGAACTTTGCGGTGGTATAACCCGATACGCCAACATAGAAAGTTAATGAAATTTGGCATGTTCATGCCTTATGCACCTGTCCAGTTGGTGAAATAAAGTTATTGAAGCCACCAAAGCTAGTTTAGAAGTTATTACGTGCGTAGTAAGCCTACCCTAACCCGATTCTCCAATATCTTTAGTATGTTTACGGTAATATATCTCGAAACGCCAACATAGGAGCCTTCTGAAATGTCGTATTCTAGTAGTTTATTCATCTCTTGATTCCGTGAAATAAAAAAACATTTTCCCGTCAAAGCTGGTTTGGGTCGGTTTTTTTTTTTGATGCAGCGTGGGCGTACCCGTTGTTTATTGAACCCACAAACTCCACCTCGAATCCGGGTGCTAGGAACTTTGCGGTAGTATAACTGGATACGCCAACATAGAAAGTTAATGAAATTCGGCATGTGCATACCTTATGCATCGGTCGATTTAGTGAAATAAAGATATTGAAGCCACCAAAGCTAGTTTAGAAGTTATTGTGTGCGCAGTGAGCCTACTCCAACCCGATTCCCCCATATGTTTAGTATGTTTACGGTAATATATCTCGAAACGCCAACATAGGAGCCTTCTGAAAGTTTGTATTCTAGTAGTTTATTCATCTCTTGATTCCGTGAAACAAAAATCATTTTCCCACCAAATCCGGTTTGGGGGCCTTTTGATGCAAAATGGACGTACCCCTTTTTTGCATGCTCAGTTAGCCTAGTGTGTGATATTTTAGTATGTTTACGGTAATAGTATATTTTGGGGTGTGTGGTGGGGTCGGGGGATTTATTACATATATACTTTGCATTAATATGTTTTCGTGATAATTATATCTATGTTTTTCTTGGCGCTAGGAATATGTGGGTTAACTAGATCTCGAATCCGGGTGAGAGAATATGTGTGCTTACTTATCTCGAATCCGGGTGCTGGAATACGGGTGAGAGATTCCGCTCGGTGATTAAGTTCGATAATGAACACTTTCTGCGGAGGGTAAGCGGACTGATACCGTAAGCAATTTAATTGGTCGAGACTTTGAAACACAATAACTCTCCTTCTAATTGAGGCAGAATGTCCAAACTTGGTGTAGGCGTAAGGAGTCCATAAGGTGAATGCCTTGATTGTGTTCGATGATGAACGGTAAGCGGAGATAAGCAATTTGATTGGTTGATGCTTTTGGGCACGATAAATTTGGTTATAATTAAGTGAGAGCTATGAAACTCCGAGTATAGATTCATTATTTCATTACCTTGACGAAGTTTGATGGCCTACACTAAATGAAGATCTGACAAGTTGTACTCGAAGGTCGTGTCTGGGGTTGTACGAGAGGCTTTTGACCCTATGACGCCATACATTGATTAATCAATCATCGTTGACGTTTCTAGTGGTTCACTCACAGTTCCGTGCATAGCACGCCAAGAAGTCGCCGTAACAGACCGTTTCATTGGCTTATTCCTCACTTCAACTGAAACGCTGGTAATATAACAACTCTTCGCGATCCTAGTGTAGTAAAGACAAGTAAAACGAAATTTTGAACTATAAAACAACGAAACGAAATAGGATCTGTGTTTTAATCAGATTGGGTGTTGATGTTCATTAGGTGAATGTCTTGACTAAGCTCAATGATTAACATTTCCCGCTAAAGCTTTGACTTTGATTCTTTCTGATAGAGAGTGAAACTTAGTGTATAGTTGATAATCAGTTTGATTGCGCGATACTTTTAAAAATGATAAACGTGGAATTAATTAATATGTGTCTTCTATTTATTTCGGGATTTCGGCGGAGGACATCAGCCTCACTGTTGGCTTGTTTCAATAGATATAACTGCAAACTAGTGAAGGTAATTAGGTGAGTCAGTGTTACTTTGTGGAAGAATAACGTTGCCAACTTTATTTTAGGTTAAAGGGACTATCCCGATTTCAAGAGAGTCTCAAAAATAAAAGTCGGAGTACGTATAAAATTTAAGCACCAAAATATAGAGGAATGGTGTATTTACCTTCTCTCAAAATTCCAGCTCAAAATATTGAGTCGTTTGGATGTGAACGTCAAAACTGCTTATCCGGACACGTAACCCTTTTAAGATTTCGGGTCAGTTTTTTTCGTTGGTTGACCTGGTAATCGATTCCTGTTCCTCGAGAGGTCTATATAGTGAATGACCCATGTGCTCTACTTGATAACGAAAGGTAAATTTCACCTACACATTATTTTTATAAAATAAAAGTCTGGTTTTATCCACACACCGCATAATACAGCTTGGGACACCGGCCTCCATTTCCAGATGAAGACTGACGGGTTTAAGTTGTTTGAAAACTTATCACAAATATTGAGTTAGTTGCTTGGCCCTTAGCTAGAGGATTTTAAGGGATTTTAACCCAAAATTAAGCAGTTTTATTCTCCAAAAAATATTGGGATTAGCCCTTTAACGAGATATAACATCAATTCCACATTTTTATTTTTACAAGAATATTAATATTAATCCCTCTTATTGGTAGTACCATTGTTTCTATATAGAAAATTACATGGAATGAATAAAAAATATTTAAACATACGCCCACAGCAGCTAAATTGTCCGGGCAGTCAACAAGAGTTGTTGCATATTTTTACTTTTCTCCGTAATGAAACATTTATAATACACTAAAATCTGATTAAGAGTAACAACTCATTAAACATACATTACGCAAGAGCCAAATCTGCCTATTGCAGATCTTTCTTTAGGCCTGAAATGTTATCTAAATTATTAATTAGACAGTAGTTAACTTTTCCAGACCATATTCAACTCTCGATGTCATAGCTAGCCTGTGATATTTAGTGGATTGGAATACATTTTTTTAAAAAATAACTAAATCAATAAATGGATAATCGAGACTTTGATTTTATCGTACCGACTTTAGTAATGTCATGATGATCGAGACTAGCCTAAAATTTAAAAATAATATCTCTGTTCAGATTGGAGCAATTAGACTGAAATTTTCAGCATATTCTATTTATGTTAACTACTATTCAACTATTATAGCGAGAACAGCCAACTCTTTATCTGATCTTCCATAATGCCTCTGAAGTAATTATAAGAAAATCATTGGAATTTGTTTGGCCCATGCTAACATTTAGTATACAAAACATTTAATATCATGGATTTGGCTGTTCAAGTTATCAAAAATCATTGAAAATCAATACACATGTACTTGTTTGTCTCAAGACCTTAAACTCTGTGTATCAACCTACATGTAAAGTCAATCCAAACCATTATGTATAGGCGTAAACATGGTGTATAAATATAAAATCAATCAGATGATAACTATGGTCTCTGAAGCATCCAAAAGATTTTTCAAAGTGATCAAGCAGTAATTATCGGGACTTGGTCAAAATCAATAGGATTCTTCGTCTCATGACCTTAAACATTGTGTATAAATTTAATGTCAATCGGTTATTAACTTTAGCCTCTAGAGAATCCACAAACAATAGTGGACGCGGGACTGGGGCGGCGACAATAAACGACCACATTTCAATATGGGACTATAAAAATTATACTGATATGACTGCATGGATAAACAATAATTACATTCTTATATTAAATCCTCATATTGGTAATACCATTGTTTTTTTAAAATGAAACAGCAGTTGCCATGCAAGATACGCCCACAATTTGCAAAAGATGGATGGGGAACAAGCTAAATAAAAAACATATAATTTTTCGTACAATCAGGGGGCCATAATCCAGAAAGTTAGGGTCTCAAAAGCGTGATCACAAAGAACCGAGATTTTTGGGATACAGAAACATTTTAAGTTTCATCAAAATCGGATCAAAATTGTGACCTCTAGAGGGTCCACAACCTTGAAATTACATACTGGCAGTTTCGGTGCGATTTTCACAAAATTCAAACTCAACCATCATTATGGTGTAACAGTGATACAGTCAAACGTTTTTTTTAAGTTGGATAAAAATTTGTGACCTCTGGCCCTAGAGCAACCACAAGCAAAAAAACAAATTTTTCGTTCAATCAGGGACCATAATCCAGGAAGTTATGGTTCCATATACACGAATATCGAAATAACTGAAAGCTTTGGGTTTCAAATTTCAGCAAAACTGGATAAAAATTGTGAACTCGGAGTGTCCACAAGCAAAAAACATGATTTTTCGTACAAGCAAGGGCCATAATCCATGAAGTTACCAATATCGAAAGAAAGAGATATTTTGGAGATAAACTTATATTTCAAGTTTCCTCAAAATCGGATAAAAATGTGACCTCTAGAGTGTCCACCAACAAATTGTGGACGGAAGGACGACCATGCATCTAAACAGAAAAACAGGGGCAGTGACAATATAAGTCCATATGAAAATGTTGGCGTATAAAAATACATGGGATAATCAAAAATATTCATATACAAAAAGAGAAAATATCATATGAAATATTTCATAATAAATATACATTAAACAACATTTTTAAATAAAACCAATATAATCTATAAAAACAAATTAGCTATATTAATAACGATTTATACAACAATTAGCTAAGCTTCAAATAAAACAAATGATTTTATGGAAATATGACATATCACATCATTTTAAATTTAGTGAAATATATTTCCCTGTCACCACCTGCAAAGTTTCAAGAAAACATTTTCACCAGTATAGTGACTAGTAGTTTATGAGATTTAAGTGACAAGAGGGATAAATCAATGAAAAATTAATGCACAATCCCTGAAGTTTTTAACAAAAATCTAAAATATCTGTCCTGTAGTGTTTACAATAATTATCCATTGATGGATGGACAGATGGTTGATGACATTATACTACTATGATATGCGAGTATAAAATAAATAATAAGGGACTGAAAAATAGTGTAGGACATGAATATACAGGCGAAATAGAATCAATGCTTTAGCTTTTGCCTACGCATGAGTAGCAGTGAATGATATTACTTTATTTTATTCCACTAACCTCATAGAATTGAAAATTCGAGATAAATTGTACAATGTCATTACTTTTAATTTCAAATGTCCTCTGTGTGTTCTCTTATGCCTTTCTTTAAGTAAAAACACAACCAAATAAAACAAAAAAAATTTGCATAATTGATTTTACATTCCAGTTCAACATAAACAGGCAAAATCTGCCTATTGCAGGTCTTTCTTTAGGCTTTAAATGTTATATAAATTATTAATCACACATTAATTAACTTACTAAGACTATAATCAATGCTCGATGCCATTGGATGTCTCCGATATTAATTGTATCGCGGATAGCTACGTTCAGTGTGATGTAATTTGACTAAAATTTTCAACATTTTCAACATATTTAATTTTCATAATCTATTTTTGAATTATTTACAGCGAGAACTGTCGACTCTTTATCTAATCTTACCTAATACTGCTTTAATATTTCTTTCATTACAAATAGAATCAAAACAATCAAATTTATCAGATTAGTTCAACAGACACTATGAAGATCCAACTGTGGGATAAGACCTGATGATGGAAGAATTTAATTTCAAATTCTGACTGTAATTCCAAACTTATTGTATAAAATATACCTAATTAATATGCCTTCTGGCAAGATACAAAATATACCAGATTATATAGATAATATATGTATTATGTTTTATTCTGTGAAATCGGTAATGCACTGGTTTTTGATTCTTGGATCTTGAAATGAGTATACAACAGAACACCTGAAATGTATGAAAAGAACATTTGAATTAAACAAATTTCAAAATTTTTAATACAACATGATACCACGATTTCATTGAAATGCAAAATGAAATGGGGTATAACATCCTACTTTTCTGCACCGACTAATGAAATGCACGGATGTGATAGTGAAATCTTTATTTCAAGTTGTTTAAACATCTCAAGCAAGATATTGTGTAATATATTCACAACATTTTTCCAAAGCTCTTGTGCAATATTAATATATGACTAATTAATATCTTGCTATGAACCTATAAATCACACATACAAAAGAAACCCAATTAAATATAAATTAATCAAAATAATACATATCACTGTTGATTTGATAATGTCTTAACAAGCACAATGGTTTGAAACTGTTGTTTGGAACCTAGGGAACTCTTTAGCGTCTACAATATTAAGCCCCCCCCCCCCCAACAGTTATTTTAAATTGAATAAAGCTTACCTGAAAATGTAATTATAACACCTACGCCCTGTAAAAGATTTAGAGGGTCGTGAAAAAGAAAATAACCTGCAAGTAGTGTTAAACAAAATTTCATATGTCCCACCATATTATATCTGAACAGTAAATTAAGGAAATAATCACAGATGTATTTAATACAATTCAACATAGGTAAATTACTTTCACGGATAATTCTGCCTATGTTTCTTATTTTCTTACATAATTCTACATGTTAATCATAACTACATGTAGTTAAATGGAGTTCTTACCAGGAAAAATCAAATAATATCAGGATTATCCAATCATAATTCCAACATTACATTCCATTATTAATACATCTCCATGGTACAATAGCTCACATTGACATAGTCTGGTTAAAATCTGTCCTTTTGAAAGCATCTTATGACTTGCTTTTGGTTTTATAAGCTAACTATTTAAAGATACCTTCCCCCATACAAACTGGGTGATTTGATGATATACCGTATTCAGACTAAAAACATATTCAACTTTAGTCTCTATCATCCAGAATAATAGGTCATCGGCTAGATTATCCGGTCTTTTACATTATCATAGACAAAGTCTAAGGGAGGTAACTAGTCCTAAAACAAGATGTTGATGCCCATCAAGAATGCCATTTCAAAAAATTCATTTGACTGCATTGCCAGTTTAATATCTAACACACTTAATTTTTTTATTGTAAAATTTCTCTCTTCATGGGTCATATACATGTTTTTAAATTAATCCTAATTCGTCGTCACGATTCATGTTTGTTTATATTAATGCATGAATTATGGGATTTATTGCGGGGAAAAAGGTACAACTTACTTGACTTGACCAAGGATACTGGAAAATCAACCACATTAAAAACCAAACTCCCGGGTTACGCATGGGCAATGGACTTTTCGTCAAATATTGACAATGATCCCAGACCCTCCGTACATAGAAGACTAGGAGGTTCTAGGTGAACCAGATTAGTTCAAACTATCAAAATTAATTTATCAAAATATTTCTGCAAATTCTTCTCAAAACAATGTAACCCTTGCTATAAAAATCTAATAAAATTTAAAAGAAGTCCTGTTTGTGTCATGTGACTTGGCCGACACAGTACTCCCAGCAATGGGTGTGAAGCCGGTGGAGAATTCATTGCACATACAAGACGATGTTGGCTTTAATATCAATTGCTGTCCATTTATCATAAATATCGAAGCCTATTAAATGCTCTATTATCCACTGTCCATGCCTTTCTCCATGGTTTTTATCTCAGAAACTGTTGTATGTTACTTTAAGCTCAGCATCAAGTTTATCAACAGATACATAAAGTGTTCACTAATGCTTAGAGATCTTCGTATGCAGCCTTTGACATGACCCAAGCAGACATCCCTAATCGTCAGGTTGTCAGTTAGGGAAACCCTTACTTTTTAGGGTTTCACACTGCGTAGCTTGTGCTTGTGTGAAACACTATTGTTTTTGTTAAGATTATTATTTTTATTATTATTATTCAAATTCCATTTTGATTAGATCTCAGCAACTGCTTGTGGCATCGTTTCGATTTCTTCAGTTTTACTGGGAAAGTGGGTGTGACTTAGAGGATAAAACTATTTTGAACGTTCTGCGACAATGCGAGATGTCCGAAATCACCGAAGTTAGCGTTTTTAAAAATATTGCAGTAATTTTAACAATAATCGTTGGATTTTAACTTTCAATACATTTTGGCATAGCCGGAGACCGGGCACATAGCTACGCTACTTTTGATTTTTCATTTTCGGCAAATCTTCGCGGATATTAGGCGCCAAATTTATAAAATTTAAATTTTTACAAAAAACTTTTTTATTTATGAATATTTTTTAGTCATGTTTTACACAGAATTAAAGAGTCATCTGACTTGAGCAAAAATGTGAATTTATTTTCCTTGGCCGCCATTGGCTAATTCATTTTTTCAGTCCTAGATTAATTATTTATTGTTCGATTTGTATAAAACAAAGTTCATATGCTCTGTTGTCTCAATTGTCATTTTTTTGTTACCGATAGAGTTATCTGTCGGCACCGGAAGTGGCGTAATTTTACCAAAAACTACAATTTTGACAGTTAGGTACCATATTTCTACGTAACTTTTATAAACTTGTAGCTATAATCCATACGAAGAAAATATAGGCCCCTATGTTAAAATTAGTTTGTATACTATTCAAAAAAAGTAGGGGATATTTGATTTTGGGGGCATAATACTAAAATATGCAAATGACTACGAAAAAAGTCACTATAGAACCTAACAGAAGAAACATTTCCAGTTACATGTGATGCCCAAACGCACCAATAGCTACCGCATGGAATGCAGGTGATGCTTGGGATCATCATGGGGGTCCAACCCAAGATTTGCACGACCCTGACTTTGAATGTTACAGTCATTGTGGCATTGAATTCCAGGGTGGAAACATTAGTTTAATTGTTTTAGTGACCAGAAAACAAATTTTGATATGCGTCGGCTTACCCAAAATGAAAGGTTACGTGCCCTTGGCATGCTACAGATCGGCACAACACAGGCGGTTGTGGCGCGGACGATGAATGTTTCTCAGTCTGTCATAAGCAGGCTATGGTCCAGATACCGTGATACACAATCTGTACAGGACAGACCACGCTCAGGTCGACCAAGGGCGACAACTCAAGCCCAGGATCGATTTATCCGTACCTTGGCCTTGAGAAATCGTGTCATCACAGCAAATCAGATCAGCGCTCGTCTTCAAACAGACACTGGTGTGAGAGTGAGTGGCCAGACGATTCGGAATCGATTGCATAGGGGTCACCTTCGCGCCCGACGTCCTCGCGTGATCCCTTGTTTGAGAGATCATCACATTCAGGCAAGACGTCGTTGGTGTAGGGATCGTCAACACTGGGATAATCGACGCTGGAGCAATGTGATGTTTTCAGATGAGTCAAGGTTCACTGTTGATTTTTTGGACAGACGTAGGAGGGTGTGGCGTCGTCGAAACGAGCGCTTCCAAGACGTTAACGTCATCAGACATGATCGATTTGGGGGTGGTTCTGTTATGGTGTGGGGAGGCATCACTGTTGCTGGAAGAACGGCTTTACATGTTGTTGCAGGGCGTGTTACAGGCCAGTACTACCGGGACAACATCTTGGCAGTCCATGTTGTGCCGTTCGCACGACGTCATGGCCGCCGTTTCATCTTCCAGGATGACAACGCAAGATGTCACAGGGCCAGGATCGTTACAGGTTACCTCCAACAACAGAACATCACCACATTACCTTGGCCAGCACTGAGTCCCGACCTCTCCCCCATCGAGCATGTCTGGGACATGCTTGGACAGAGGTTACGTCAACGTCAACAACGTCCTGCCAATGTCCAAGAACTTGCTGCTGCGTTGCAACAGGAATGGGACAATCTGGACCAAAATGACCTTAGACGTCTCATTAGGAGTATGCCACGTCGGATCAATGCTTGTTTGGCAAACAGAGGAGGATTTACCCGTTACTGACTTGGTTGTGATGCTGTGGTAACTTTGCTGTTTGACCCCGGGTATCATTTTACCCTTATAATGGTCAGTCTGTGCCTTACTTAGTCTAACGATCATTTGGAATAAATTGATGAATGTGAACTTCATTTCATTTTGTCATTTGTTTCTTCGTCAGTTTCATTAGGTGACTTTAATAACACTTAAAAATCAAATATCCCCTACTTTTTTTGAATAGTATAATATAAGCAGTTGCCTAGAAATGGGCAATTTTGCATAAGTCACTGTTTTCGTTATTTTACCTTTAAAATAGTCAATAATTATTGGATTTTCATAAAAGTGACACCATTTGATTCAAAAAGCAAGTATGCGTTATATCAAATTGATTACAATTTAAAATTGACACCGGAAGTGACGCCATTTTTGTCAAAAAATGCATTTTTAACGTTTGAAATTAATATTTTTTTCAACCAAGAATTATTTAATATATATTAATATTTTTAACTTTTGGTTTAAATTAACATATTAATAAAATTCATACCGTCATATAGATATCATAAAAGTGTTTCTAACTTGTTCGGTTGCGGAGAAATAGGCGGTTTTCTACAAGTCACTTTTTAAGGTTTTTGGTCCATAAAAGTGTCAATTATTATTCGATTTTCATAAAATTTTACCATGTGATGCCCAATGTCATAGACGATGTTATAAACTAATTTAAGATTTTTAGTATCACCGGAAGTAATGTCATTTTGGCAACAACTGTAATTTTAGCCTTCAAAACAGATATTTTATTCAAATGAATCTGATTTGTAATGTTTTTAAAATTATGATATTTGATTCCAATCAACACATAGAATGAACCCATACGATCATACAGATACCAAAAAATGGTTTCTAACTTGTACGGTTGCAGAGAAATAGACGATTTTCTACAAGTCACTTTTCAAGGTTTTTGGTCTATAAAGGTGGCAATTATTATTTGATTTACATAAAATATCCACCATGTGACGATGCTATTTCTGATTTCATAAACCAATTTAACATTTTCATTTAACAGGATCACTGACATGTAACAAATGTATAAAATGAATTGATTGCTAGATTTGGTTGATTCTCCGTCCATTTTATTTCATGTGTGCAATGCTTATGTGGAAACCTGTGTAAGGGTTTCATTGCTACCGGAAGTGACATAAGTTCAAGGGCAACGTGGCACAGATGAAACCCGTCATTACTGCTTCGCAGTTCTTGTTTGTCCTGTATTTGTTCCATGGGTGCTTTTCAGGGAATCCAGTATTTTACTAGTAAGATTGGATGTTTCTACACCAAAATTGCCATACTTTTATTGGAAATAACCACCTGATAAATACTTTTGTGGGAAAGTAGCTGTAAACCTAAAAGATATAAGCTTTTTTTTTTGTATTAAAGGATACGTAACAGGCGATGTGCTTCCTATTAACCAGAATATTGTCAGATTTACTGAAAAGGCCACAATACCTGACAACAATACAACACACTAAAAAATAAAAATAATTTCAAGTTATATCAATGAAAATTTGGATTAAAAACAAAACTGGTCTACCAATCCAAGTAGCTAGGTTATACTAAGGTTTTTTGGTTTTTTTCAGTTCAAGGATTGAAAAATCAAAAACAATAAGTAGTTGGGGTTTTTTTCCATAATAATACTTTGAGAAGACTTTTGGAAAATAATTGATTTTATGTTCCTGTGTTCAGTCAAAAATGAAAATTAAAATCGTTCTTTCTTCAGAAGCTAAAAAGAGATTCCAAGTTGCAGTAATTGAAATTATGTTTTTTCTAAGTAATAGATATCAAGTGGATTAAAATGCATAGGTAATAATATAAGGTTTTACAACACCAGATCATTTCTTGCAGATTTTGTCATAAGATTCATAGATAGGTCTATGTCACCAAATTTGCAAAAAGAGGAAGTTCCTCAGCATTTTCTGGTGTGGTTTCACCTTTATCAGTAGTGCAGAAAGGAGGGCATGCATAGCAAAGAACAACGTCTAGTCATAAACTAATTGAAATAAGAGTAGGCCATACCGATACGGACCAGTGTCGTCAGATCTACAGCTTGAACAGCTTTTTTTTGTGAAGCAAGACAAACTTAGTGGGCATGGCTGGATTCACAAACGAGTCAAAAAAGACAGTGCTAGGAATAAGGTCTATTGGCTACTGCATAGACTACTTGTTGCTTATTATACTTTTTTTAGTATATAATATAAACTCTCTGTACATTTTATTATCATTTGCTTTGATCCCATGCCTTTTGCCAAAACCATGGCATTATTTACCACTATGTCATATTTTTGTGGTGGAAAAGTACAATGATCCTAAAGAACAGGCAAGTAAAAATTTGTTGGCCAAACAGAGTTGATGTGCAGAGAAAAAGAAAGAGACAAACAATGAAATCTGTGTTTCCACCTTGCTACATATATCTACTGACAGAGAACTGGTTTCAGTTATTTGTCCTTTAATAATCACTAATATGAATAGGAATGTACAGGTAACAGACTTTAGGCATAATACTAAGCCTCAGATTAATGTTAGTTTTGAAAAGATTTTCCATTTTATAAGCATTTGCGGAAAAGAATTGTTTGTAAAGGTAACTAATAAATCAAAATATTAGTAAACTAAAACAATACGTACAGTACTTACAAGTGTTGACAACGACCAGTTATATAAAATTCCATGGAAGCGAAATACTGGTTCAAAAAAAGGAATGACAATCATTAACAACAGTGCTGAAAGGGGTGCTTGACAATATAATAACTGCATAGAATTAACTTGAAGTTCATTTTGTTTTGTTCCAACCCACTGTAAAAGAAAAAAAAAATTGATGGCATTAACTTCACTCAATACATTTTAAGAATTCACTTGATATTATTACTTCCGAGATTAGTAGATTATTCTGTAATACACACCAGATTAACAATTTATACTATTACCACTGAGATTAGTACAACACCTGATTTTAATACTGATGAGATAGTAGATTATTGTACAATACACATTAAATTAACAAGTGATTTTATTACTGCTGAGAGGGGGTTGGATGGCCGAATGGTTAGCATGTGTGCGCTGCTGTATCATAAGGTCTGTTATCGAGTCAACTGGCATGGTTTCAATTCCCCAGTTGTACGTGACAAGGAGTAGGGTCGCCTGTCCAATCTTGTGGGTTTTCTACGGGTCCTCCGGTTTCCTCCCACTGCTAAAGACCCCTACGCGCAAGCGAATTATTGAAATAAAACTGAACCATGTTAGTTCTGAGTTTGTGTCGAGTGGTCATATATTGTCGTCGCCCCTGTCCGTCCACAATTAGTTTGTGGACTTACTACAGGTCACAATTCTTATCCGATATTGACGAAACTGGAAATATAGGTTTATCAACAAAAGATCTTGGTTCCCTTCGATATTGGCATGTATCATGGATTATGGACCCTGAATGTACAAAAAATCACATTTTTATCTTGTGATGAAACTTGAAATGTATGTTTATAACCAAAAGATCTTGGTTCGATATTTGCGCATATCGGATCAGAACTTCCAGAATTATGGCCCCTGATTGTATGAAAAATCGCGTTTTTAGCTTGTGGTCCCTCTAGAGGTCACAATAATAATCCGGTTAAAAAAAACAACATTTGAATATATCACTGTTACGCCGTCATGATGGTTGAATTCGAATTTCGTGAAAATCAGACCGAAACTGCCTGACAAAATGGCCGTCCTTTGTACGCAAATAGTGTAAAAATATGGTATATCAAGGTTGTGGCCTCTCTAGAGGTCACAATTTTTATCTGATTTTGGTGAAACTTGAAATACATGTTTATAACCCAAAGATCTTGGATCCTTTCGATATTCGCGCATATCAGATCATAACTTCCTGAATTATGGCCCTTGATTGTACGGAAAATCGTGCTTTTAGCTTGTGGTCTCTCTAGGGGTCACAATTTTTATCCAATTTAAAAAAACGTTTGAATATATCACCGTTAGGTTGAGTTCGAAAATCGGACCAAAACTGCCAGACAAAATAGCCGCCCCTCTATGGATCACAATTTTGATCTGATTTTGATGAAAGTTTAAAATTATGTTTATATCACAAAGATCCTTTCGATAATTGTGCATATGCGAACGTTACTGCCTGGATAATGGCCCCTGATTGTACGAAAAATTGCATTTTTAGCTCGTGGACCTGTTAGAAGTCACAATTTGTATTTAATTTTAAAAAAAAAAGTTTAAATATATCACTATTACACATCAATGAAAGTCGAGTTCAAATTTCGTAAAAATCTGACCCAAACTGCTGGACAAAATGACCACTCCTTGTACGGAAATAGTGTAAAAGTATGTAATACCAAGGTTGTGAACACTCTTTAAGTCACAATTTTTATCTGATTTTGATGAAACTTAAATTGTATGATTATAATCCAAAGATCTTGGTTCCTTTCGCTGAAGACCCTCTAGAGGTCATAATTTTTATCTCATTTTAAAAAGAGTTTAAATGTATCACAGTTACACCCTATTGACGGTTGATTTCGAAAATTTGACAGAAACTGCCTGACAAAATGGCGGCTCCTTGTATGCAAATAGTATAAAAGTATGTAATACCAAGGTTGTGGAGTCTCTAGAATTCACAATTTTTTTCCGATTTTCATGAAACTTAAAATATATCTTTATATCCGAAATATCTCAGTCCATTTCGACATTCACGCATTTGAGACCATAACTTCCCGGATTATGGCCTCTGTACGAAAAATCACTTTTTTTTTTAGCTTGTTCTCACTTCTCTATCCATCTCTTGCAAAATATGGGCGTATCTTGCATGGCAACCACTGATACAGATACTTACCACTTGATAGATTGAAGTAACCAGAACTCCAATGGAAGCATAGATAATTCCTAATGTATTAAACTTTACATCATTATAAGAATTGAAAATCACGCCTACAGTAATAGGAATCTGAAAAAAAAAGTTGAAGAAATAAGACTTGAAAATAAGTACAGAATGTCTTGAAGATTATGGAAGCTTGGTGGTAGGAGTAATTGTTCATTAAATACCAGTAAATTTATTCAAGCTGTATTTTTATCAAAATTGCTAGTGCATTAGTCATGTGCAACCCCCTACTTATGGTTATATCCTGTTAGTCTGGAGGCTCAGTGCGGCCGGGGGGGGGTGTCCATCAAATGGGCACAAAACCAGACCCAACTTTTCTAGAGTAAAATTTTGTGTAGAATACGATGCCGAGTGGTAATCAGTCCGCCGTTGGGGCGTTTTCGAGATATTCGTGGTGAAAGGTCAAATGAGTTCATTTGTATTGAAAGTGAATGCGCAGTTATTCTTGTATTATGAAAAGAAGCTGAAAATGATCGAAAGTAGTCACACTTTCAATAAAAATGTAAAATTGCTAAATTCACCTTTAGTCTTAGTGACCTTGGGGGTCAAATGTGAAATTTGCCGTTTTTGCACTAGGAAGATTTAAAGCAATAAAATGTTAACGTAAAATATAAAGATAGGTTGCCAGGCAACAAAACATACGCATACAGCAGCTAAATCGTCCGAGCAGTTGACAAGGGTTGTCACATATTTATTTTTTTGTAGGTAATTAGGGGAATTTAATAGACAATTTCATACAGATAACATTATAATTTTAGGGGTTTGAGGGTTCACAAGGGTCTTAAAAACTAAAACAAGGGCCATAACTCTGGAAGTAATCTACAGAAATTGTTGAAATTCAACAGGCTTTTTCGTTTTACTAATTCAAATAATGCATATAAATTTCATACAGATCGGATGATAACTTTTGTCGTTCGAACATTCACAAAGTTCAGCAAAGTAAATCAAGGGCCATAACTCTAGACATAATTGACGGAAATTGCTGACATTCAATAGGCTTCTTCATTTCACTAATTTAAATGATGCATATGAATTTCATACAGATTAGGTGATAACTTTTGTCGTTCAAGCGTTCACAAGATTCAACAAAGTTAAACAAGGGTCATAACTCTAGATGTAATTAACGGAAATTTGCTGAAACTCAATAGGCTTGTTCGTTTTACTGATTTAAAGGAGCTAAATCGCTAATATTTGTGATGAAGAAATTGACACAAATGGGTCGCAACGCATACAATAATATGAATGTATATAAATTGATTTACATTCAACCGTTTCTGTAATTCCTAATCAGTTTGGTTCGGCGAAATACGCCAGTATTCTCAATCGAATTTCAATCTCTAGCGACTGGTTATTCCAGCCTACGCCGAGAGTATTTATTGGGCATGCTCTCCAGATAAGAATATAGCGTCACCGTTTGACATGACTTGTGGAATATGCCTAGCCTCGTTTTTCAAGTCCCTTATTACAAATAGCGCTGAAACGTATTATGGTACACGATTCTTGTACCAATTGTAAAATGTTTATTTTGTCTTAAATATTGGATATCAGAAGGCCATCTTTATGATCTTTTCCCGGTAAGATCACCACATCAATGTTGATTTAAACCGACAAATAAATTGTGTTTTCAATGTCGAAGATTTTGGATGATATTGAGTTAGAGACTTGGCTAATTTAAATGATGCATATAAATTTCATACAGATCGGATTATAGCTTTTGTCGTTAGAGCGTTCACAAGGTGCAACAAAGTGAAACAAGGGCCATAACTCCGGAAGTTATTGAAATTAAATAGGCTTCTTCACCTCACTAGTGCAAACAACATATATCAATTTCAAAACAATCAGATGATAAATGTAGTCTGTAGAGTGTTCACAAGAAATTGTGGACGACAGACAGACCGACGGCAATATACGACCACTTTTCCATGTGGGCTTATAAAAACTAAAATTTATCTTTAGGGGGTCTTAGCACCAAACTTTTACTTTGAAACGTCGAAAATGATCTTGCATAACAGAACCAAAACGCTTCGGAAACTGTTTCAAAAATACGTAAAAACTGTTAAATCAAAATCTCTCCGAATTAGTTTTACAACGAATGCTGTACATAATGATACTAGTTGTCTGAAAAAAACCAATTGAATAGTTTCATGGATGGACTCCAGCCTGCAGGCCGCGTGTGTCACAAAGCCTTCCAAAATTTTCCCAGCTAACATTTACCAATTGATACGACATATATATCCTTTGAACTACTATGTACAATGCATTCGTCGGTTTTATCTGCATCCAAGTTCCGGCGAAACTCATAAAAACTAATAAAAAATTTGCAAACTTTTAATCTCGTCGTCAGATACGTGTTTTTCTGTCACAGATTAACGTCAGTTTTCCTAGAATGGGATCCACGCGGCCTGCAGGCTCGAGTCCAACACTGAAACTATTCAATTGTTTTTCAGATAACTAGTATACGATGGCTGATTTAGGACACACAAAAAAAAAATATCTCGAGCACTCGAGATACTAAGTCAAGCGCTTGAGATACTAAGTTGAGTTCTCGAGATAATTAACTCGAGCGCTCGAGATAATAAAATCGAACATGGGTCAACCAATGTTTTAATCTGTATAATTTTGTGCATTATTTAATGATAAACTTTCAGAATAAGGCTGACCTTAAAAATATCTTTGTTTCGCCTAACGCGACCGACTTACTAAAACCACCCCCGACTTAAATTATTTTATTGCACTTTTCCACGATCTTTTTATTTTATTTTATGTGTCAACCTGAAATATATCATGAGAGTTATTTCCCTTTACTATGGCTATGGTTTGATTCATTATTGAAACTGGTTGATCAAGACGAAAGCGTCATAGGTGTCGCTTCTCAACAAAATGGTTGCAGACGAATACACGTCCATTCCCACGAAATGATTCTTCCTCTATGTCTGTGGTGCGTAGTTTTAAACATGACGACGATATTTTCAATATCCATTTTCGAGAAAAATGAAGGCACAACCCGCACTATCATTAAAAACGTGTTGAAGGAGTTTCACACTTCAAGTTCGTGGCAAATCGTGTGCTAGTCGGGCATCACGAAAAATCCCGATGTCATTGATTTGTTTGCCAATAAAGAAGACGAATGTTTCCACCCGGAAAATTATTAAGCTGTCAAATTAGCTCTTAAGTTTAATAAAAACTTTCAGTTCGTTACTTTTTACGTCAGACCCCAAATTCATTAAACAAAATTAATGAATCTGTAGTATACAGCTAATAAGTTTTCTGTATTGATTTCTCTGACTTTAAAAAGAAATCTGAAAAAAAAACCGACCTACCGACCCTTCTCCTCGATTGTGGGTCGGGTTTGGTGAAACAAAGATATTTTTAAGGTCAGCCTAAAGATATTCATTTGTTCATTTTTACAGCCCATCCAAAGCTGCAGTGACAGAGCGGACCACAACACACACACGTGCGCACACTCCATCCCATGCTCATCACCACCACTAAAGATGACCTCTTTTACTTTTGGTGCATGTCCGACCCCCTGGGACAGAGCCACACCAAATTTTTGTGTGTATTTCTCCTAGAGGGCGCAATTCTTAACAGATCCTTTTGAAGCTTTGCATACCTATTCCTTATACCCTAAGGAAGACCCCTATTGGGTTTTTTTGGTGATTGCCTGTCCCCCAGGATCAGCGCCACACCCATTTTTTTTTTGTGTATCTGAGTGTTGCCTACAGGCCAGGATTCTTAATGGATCGTCTTAGAACTTGGCATATGTATTCCTTATAGCCACGCACAATTTTTGTGTCCACCGTATACAGGCCGCGATTCTTAATGGATCAGCTTGGAACTGGGCATATTATTATGTATTCCTTATGGCATAAGGGCGGCAAGGCTGCAACTATTGATTTTGGGCGCGGGAGGACCAGACATTAGCTTCTAGATAAGAGGAAAAGTCAGTCTCTCCTAGCAAAACTCTGTAACCTCGATATACATAATTATTGATTCGTATAATAACATGCGATGTACTCCCAACTTGGTAGGGGGTAAATATAACTGGAAATATTTAGTGGTGGTGATGAGCATGGGATGGAGTGAGTGTGTGTGTGTTGGGGTCCACTCCGTCACTGCAGCTTTGGATGGGCTGTAAAAACGAACAAATGAATATCTTTATTCTGCAAGTTTATCATTAAATAATGCACAAAATTATACAGATTAAAACATCGGTTGACCTGTGTTCGATTGTATTATCTCGAGCCCACGACTCAGTATCTCAAGCACTAGAATTAATATCTCGAGCGCTTGAGATATTATATTTTTTTGGCGTGTCCTAAAAAAGCCACCGTACTAGTATCATTAACAATTGTTGTGAAAATAAATCGGGGAGATTTCGATTTGACAGTTTTTACGTATTTTTGAAACAGGTTTCAAAGTGTGTTGATTCTGTTATGCAAGATCATTTTCGATGTTCCAAAGTAAAAGTTTGGTGCTAAGACCCCCTAAAGATAAATTTAAATGTTTCTATTATTAATTAAAACAGGTTTCGCTTTAGTTTTTATATTTTACGTTAACATTTTATTGCTTTAAATCCTCCTAGTGCAAAAACAATAAATTTCACCTTTTGACCTCCAGGGTCACTAAGTTTTAAGACTAAAGGTGAATTTAGCAAGTTTACATTTGTATTGAAAGTATGATTACTTTCAATCATTTTAAGCTTCTTTTCATAATACAAGAATGACTGCGCATTAACTTTCAGTGCAAATGAACTTATTTGACCTTTGACCCCGAATATCTCGAAAACGACCCAACGGCGGACTGATTACCACTCGGCATTGTATTCTATGCAAAATTTAACTCTAGAAAAGTTGGGTCTGGTTTTGAGCCCATTTGAATTTGATGGACACCACCCCCATCGCTGAGCCTCTGGTCCATGTATCTTGATTGGCTGTTGTTCACAACATATATTTAGACCCGCCTTCATAACGTAACTCGATGTCTTTTTAAAATGTCTTGTAAAGTCAGCAATTATCGCATCGATTTAAAAGAGATAGTTTGTACCCGTGTCAGGTTGGATTATGAAATTATGTCAATATCTAGGGGGGTTGGATGGCCGAATGGTTAGCATGTGCGTGCTGTATTATAAGGCCTGTCATTGAGTCATCTGGCGCGGTTTCGAATCCCCGGTTGTACGTGACAAGGAGTAGGGTCGTTTGTTCAACCTCGTGGGTTTTCCCCGGGTCCTCCAGTTTCCTCCCTCTGCTAAAGACCCCTACGCCCAAGTGAATTATTGAAATAAAACTAAACCATATGTTAGTCCCGAAATGACCTAGTTTGTGTCGAGTGGACGTTAAACCTCATTTCTGTCTCTCTCTCTCTGTCAATATCTTTTACCCGGACATACAACTTCTTCTTTGACTTTAATCTTAAAAGTACATTTGTCTGTATTCGTAGATTTTATTTAACAATTTCAATTTCTTACCAATGTTCCAAGAATTTTATAAGAGAATCTTTTGGCATAAAAGTTTGTCTGTATCATTATAATACATGGCGTTGTCATGGCTTTAATTAACTGATAGGTACCAACAGTATTAAAACCTAAAGATAAATTGGTGAACACAACAAACCCACAAAAACTCAAAGCTAGTGGTAACATATCAAGTAATGGTAATGACTTAGGTTGAAATAAATTCAAATGTTTACAAATAACGAGTCCAACGGTCGTCACACAAAAATGAATACAAGTCAGTGATATGTTTGGGAATCCATAATTTGTGTAAATCCATTTGTTCAACACGACAATGAAAATCGAACTGCAGATGTTGAGTACAATACACATGGATAAGTTTGATTTAGAAGGCCCCGGCATTTTAAAGATTGTTAGCTCCCTGTCACTACTGGGCACCAGACCATAGTCTACAAACACAGGCAGAATTTTTCCTTTTGCAAAATAATGACACTGTATATCAGGTTAATAAGATCAACACGTAACCGGAAGTAATTCATTCGGTGTATTTCGATCTTTTTGTGGTAACGGCGTTACTAGCGCCTTCTATCGGAATATAGTCAATAAAATAAAACCAAGTACGAACAATCCAAACCACAAGGCATAAGACAGAATGCGAAGTCCTACAACATATTAACGGTTTATGGTGTCACGAATATCAAACCATAAAGAAAATTTCATTTCCTAATGAATTTAATTAAATTTTATTTTTCTAGCTATTTGATCATTTTAAAAACAAATATCAGTACAGATCTATATACAAAAAAGAAAAATGGATTCTTTTAACTTTGACGTACGAACATAACTCCATGGTACGACGAATTCCGAGTGTCCAGAAAACCGAGACTATAATGAACGGTAACTCTAGCTGGGGGAGTCAACTTTAAGGACGCAGACCACCATTAATTTCCCCATTGACTTCAATGTTAATTCTGGCCTCTTTGCCCACCTCCAACTTTTCCCAAAATTTTCGTTGGGCTGAATGCTTTTCACTACAGACAGAGGAACAAATGGTCATGTCTTTGCACTAAAATTTGTATGAGGTTGACCACCCAAAATTTTGAGATACACAAACTTGAAGAAGTATACTGAAAACATGTAACTAGTTGCCGTACATATCACTGTAGCCAACCTGATAACCCCGTTATCCTTCCGCCTCAAAATCATGAATATTTACCAAAACCTGACAGAAACGGTTAATTCAAACCCTCTTCATCCATTCTAGACCAAAAAATCAACAAAAATGGGCATGCAAAAGGGGAGAAAAGGGACAGAGAGAGAGAATTACTATAAATAGACGAAGAAGTACCGAGATGGTGAAATTTAATGGTGGTCTGCCTCATAGACATACTAATAATATTATTAGTATGTCTATGGTCTGCCTCCTTAGTCCAAATCAAATGGTCACAGATCACTAAATAATGACTTTAATGTTAATTCTCGTCTCTTAGACCGGCTCTAACTTTTTCTCAAATGGAGCAACATGTGGCAACCTCTTGCCCAAAAGCAAGTATGAGGTTCACCATGGAAAACTCGAGATACACAAGCTGGAAGTAGAGACAGATAAACATGCAATTTTTGACCCTACATTTCAACATGACCAGCCTCTCAACTCTTGTATCCTTCCGCCTCAAAATCATGAAAATTCACCAAAACCTGGCAGAAAATATATTTTCAAACCCTTTTCTTCGATTCTACACCAAAAAGTCAACAAAAATCGCCATGCAAAAGGGAGGAAAAGGAAAAGGGAGAGAAAGACTAAAAATAACTTTCGCCCTACATTCGGGGTGACGGCGTAGAAATATTTGGTGACCCGTGTCCAAATAGTCAGTTGAATAAACCCATGGAGGTGTGTATATTGTCAATATATACACCTCTATGCCTCTATGAATAAACCAGTCGATGGCTTATTAAAATTTTGGAATAGTTCGTAATAAATATAAGTTAAAGAAAACAAGGCACTAATTCAAATCGTTTATCATTGTTTTTGTCTATTTTTACTGTTTCCTCATGTTCCAATTTGATTGTTCAAATTAAAACTGTAAGGTGTTATCTGGACGAGGCAATATGAAAATGTCATATACCACATCCCCACATGCCCCCTCCACGGTCATATATAGGGACTCTATTCTTTTCGAGGTGTGGGGGGGGGGGGGGGAGGCCGAAAATATTAGTATCTACTTATGTACATGTATCACTAATTAAGACGGGTGAAGACCTAGACCCCCCCCCCCGGCCCCTGCACCATGCCCCCGGCTCCTTCAGCTATGGCTACTTAAGCATCGCCTAAATACCTTAATTATCTAACTACTTTTGCCCGCAACATCTAGTATTATCGGCCTTCGCCTCAAAAAGAATAGAGTATCCATATATGACCGCAGAAAAGGGGGGCTGGGTAGGAGCGTATGGGGATGAGGTTTTTGACATTCTATGTACCCTGGCCTCGTCCTGTCGATAAAATCAGTCAAATACTTCAGTCGATAAAATTAAGCTCAATATTAAGCAGCGGTGGCAGTTGACTAAGATAATGTAGAGTAGCAAATATTTAAATCATACTCGTAGCCATAGCTGGAGGACCCGGGGCATGGGGTAGGGGCCGGGAGGATTCCCAACTAGTTTCAAGTTCGATTTTACGGGCAAAACTAGTTGGATAATTAAGGTATTCAGGCGATAGTTAAGCCATAACTGAAGGAGCCAGGGGCTCGGGATGGAGGGGGTGGGAGGGCTTCACCTGCAGTCTTAAGTGATACATGCACTTATAAGTATAGATACTAGTATTTTCGCCCCTCCCCCACCTCGAAAAGGATAGAGTCCCTATAATATATGCCATGAACGTAGAAAGGGGATGCGCTGGGGGTGGGGTGGGAGGTGTCTTGTGGGGATGAGAAATTTGACATTTTCATGTGGCCTCGTCCAGTCGATAAAATCAGTCAATTACATGTAGTTCAGTCTATAACATCAGTCGAATAATCCAGTCGCTCAATATTAAGCAACTTAGGCCTATTCCTTGCAAATCATCACAACAGCCAATAGTCGATCAGGCATATGGTACGTCTTCTTCCGAGTCATTAGTACAGCAAAGCAAAACCTCGGCTATACATTCCCAAATTGGTAGTGGGCGGGGGCAGATATAGAAATTGAGCCTTGTTCAGGTGGAACAGAAACGAATAATTCGCAGCTGAAAGTTTAAAGACGTGTAGGCCTAATGCTTTGAATGCACTGGACTTCAATGCTTAGCAAAAATTGTTATTTCAAATTAATACAAAGCCTCTTGCCTCGTTCACATAAACGGCAATGGCCTGTGGATGGATTTCAGAATCTCAATTTACGTAGCATCTCAATTTACGTCTAATGCTAGCTTGTTCACAGCAAAATTACAGATTCAGTAAAAACAACGATGGTGAAATATTTTATTTTTAAACGATTTATTTCATTTGTAAACGATAACGATTTTTAACTACATCTAGATAAGTATATAACTGATTAAGAAACAAGATATAAGTTGGACCATATTAAACAATATCTTAAAATAAGTTGGTATAGATAAAAATATTAAATGTGGTTTCAGGCAAAAATTTTATTAACAAAAGTAGATAATTGATTAAGAAATGACATAATCTATTTGGACTGATGAATTATCGGTTGGCCCACATTAAACAATATTTTAAAATAAGTGGGTGGGTATAGATAAAGATAAATGTGGTTGCACGTAAAAATCTCGACCCCACTACCACCCCCATATGTTTGTATGTCTAAAATTTCGAAATAATTTTGGCCCCATTAAAATTACCATAAATTGGTATGTTCCAAATTTAAGGAAAAAGGAAAATTTACAAATTTGGACTTGTAGCATGACGGACCAACAGGCATAATAGATCTCCCCCCCCTCCCCCAATCACAAGACGTATGTCGAAATTTTCGAAATAATTTTGACCCCATTCAAATTCCCATAACGGTCATGTTCCAAGTTTAGGAAAATAGAAAATTTAGAATTTTGTTCTGTAGCATAAAAATATGGGCATATACAAATATCTTAATTATTGTTTAATATAGGCATATAAGAAAAACTAAATAATGTATAATAATTAGGGAAATACAAATATAAATCAAAATCTCTTATCTATAAGTAAATAATTGATTAAGAAATAATATAATCTATTCAACAGATGAATTATTTGAATTTTGACCTCGTTCTACGTTCTTATAAAGTATTAGGTTACCCTAATACACTGACAATAATATAAACATGTGAATATTTATATCAATCTTTGTAGACTTTTCTGACAATCTCTAAAGACTGGTATCATCATATAATGGTATATACTTATTTGAAACAATGATGTAGATATGAGGTCAGTTATTAAAAGCCAGCTAAATAACCCTAACTCCCATCTAGGAAGGGGCAAGTAGGATTTTTCCAAGTCCCCAGATCAATTGGAAGTACTATTGACCTTACATTGTAAAATACATAATCATGCATATAATATAAATGAACAATTATAACAGTAGACACAAGTCCTACAACTTCACTAAAAAAAAATACTATTCTGGCAATAACAAGATTATAATTTGTCTAATTTAACATCAAATATTTTGATTACAATAACAAAAACTTTCAATGGGAAATACGAATATAAATCAAAACCTTATCTATAAGTATATAATTGATTAAGAAATGATATAATCTATTCCGACTGATGACTTATCAGCTGGCCTACATTAAACAATATTTTAAAATATATACGTGGGTTAGATAAAAAAAGCTAATAAATGTGGTTGCGCGTAAAAAATCTCGAGCCCCACTACCACCCCCATATGTTTGTATGTCGAAAATTTCGAAATGATTTTGGCCCCATTAAAATTACCATAAACAGGTATGTTCCAAGTTTAATTAAGGAAAAGGGAAAATTTACAAATTTGGATTTGTAGCATGACGGACCAACAGACTTAATAGATCTACCCCCACTCCCAATCACAAGATGTATGTCGAAATTTTCGAAATAATTTTGACCCCATTCAAATGCCCATAACGGTCATGTTCCAAGTTTAGGAAAATAGAAAATTTAGAATTTTGTTCTGTAGCAGAAAAAAATTTGGGCATATAAAAATATCTAATTATTGTTTAATGTAGGCATATAAGAAAAACTAAATAATGTATAATAATTAGGGAAATACAAATATAAATCAAAATTTCTTATCTATAAGTAAATAATTGATTAAGAAATAATATAATCTATTCAACAGATGAATTATTTGAATTTTGACCTCGTTCTACGTCCTTATAAAGTATTAGGTTGCCCTAATACACTGACAATAATATAAACATGTGAATATTTATATCAATCTTTGTAGGCTTTTCTGACAATCTCTAGAGACTGGTATCATCATATTATAGTATATATTTATTTGAAACAATGATGTAGATATGAGTTGTCAGTATTGAGAGCCAGCAAGGAAGGAAGTGGAGAGGTGGGAGGGGTGCAGAATTTTCCACAAGTCCCCAGATCAACTGGAAGTGTTTGATCACTATTTACCTTACATTGTAAAATACATAATCATGCATATAATATAAATGAACAATTATAACAGTAGACACCAGTCCTATAACTTCATTAAAAAAATATACTATTTTGGCAATAACAAGATTATAATTTGTCTAATTTAACAGATATTTTTATTACAATAACAAA